TACGTTCCCACTGCCACATGCTCCGTTCCCGTGATCACCATGCTCTTGCCTTTTCTTTCTCGCCCTTTGTTCTTCCTTTGTCATCTTCACTGCCTCGCTCTCGCGCTTTGTCTTTGGTTGCTAAGCAGCCCCTCGAGTAGATAAGGACCCCCTTAGGCGCTCCCTAGTCCCCATCTCGACCTCTTGGTCATTGGGACTAGGTGAGTGACCATAGCGTTGTATCTCCCTTCGATTGCTAATGTATAACTTGGTCATTGGGACTAGTCTGTCGCTGGTTGCGTGAAGACTAGCTTTCGTCGGTCTTGTGCCTTCGTGCCAACCGCCGCTCTGCCCCGTCGAGTTTTCTGATACGTTTATCCCTCTCACCCTCTCTTCTCCCCTTTCGGCTCCTCGCCGCTCGCCTACGGGGTCGTCGCCGAACATCGACCCGAGTCTACGCGCCTAGTCGCCGCGACATTCCCAGTCGTAGGACCAGAGCTGATCGTTTGAGCGAATACTGCACATGCTCTCAAACACATGCATGTAAATGAGATCGAGGGATAGGGCTTAAGAGTGACTAATTGTGTGTTATGCAATCAAGATAATCTAACACTCGCATCATGTCTGGGGCGACTCCCACTCTCCACCAGCTGCAGAACTTCTTGGAGAAGCAGGATCTTGACTGTCACTATTCCCAAGGAGGTTCTTACGGCCGCTATATCAGTCTGCCTCTGAGTGTCTGACTCAACTTGCCCATTAGTCACATGAACCAGTTGGACCAATTCGCGTCTCGGAGTATACAGCCACTTCAAGGCCACTAGAGGCTCTCTCCACCACAGATCTCACCCCTACGGATATTCAAGAATATGTCGTTGCATGCATTGCTGAGGTCCATTTGTTGTCCCCTAGTTGCTCTTACCGCATCAATGCCCCTCCCACTGAACGCCCAGCGTGCATATATGCTGACGGGGTCTATGACCTGCTCCATTTCGCACATGTGCTGTTGCTCCGGCAGGCAAAGCTGGCGTTCCTCACTACAATTGAGATCAGAGGGAGCCGCACTGAAGTGCTGGGTGTACATTTGCTGGCTGGTGTTCACTACGATGAAGTCTGTACTGAGCACAAGAATATACCAGTGATGGGGCGTGAAGGGAGGTATGCTCCCGCTTAATTCCAGGGTCATTGTGCAGAATTGATGAAAAAAAGTGAAGGTGCGAAGCGGTACAACATTGTCAATGGGTGGATGAGGTTATACCGAATGCGCCATGGGTCATTGATCAGGCAGCCCTTGACAAGGTATGCCGTCACTAAGCTACATTGGCATATGCCTCAGGAGATTACGACAATGTCTATGCATACGTAAGAGCCAAGGTACACAACTTCCCGTTTTACCTAATAATCTCTTTGATATCGTGTTCACCCCATACCAGGTCAATTTGTTCCGACACGCCACACGCCTGGGGTGTCTACCTCAGAGTTGATTGAACGAGTGAGTTGTGATTGCATATCGACGCGGCGACCTTGACTCAATATTCCCTCCTAATAGTCGCTCTGGTACTTGTTGGTAATGAGCCAGTCGGAAAAAGATGGCAATGACATAGTAGGGTAGTACATATATCTTGCCATCCTACTGCCTGCTACTGTGATGAAGGATATCAGATTTAAAGACGGTACCAAATCCTGGTTTGCATCATGGACGTGTCAGCGTGTCCGGCTTGAACCCCTTTTTCCACGGAAAAATGACCACCGCAGGGGTCGAACCTGCAATCTCCTGATTATCCAGTCGTAGTCAGACGCGTTGCCATTACGCCAGGCGGCCGTTGCACTTGAGTATCTCTTGTGCATTATAATCCCTTTCTCCTGCGGACTCTACTGCGTGAGCTGGCGGTCCTTTTTGTGCGCACTCAGCTATGCAACTACTGAAGATCTGCGTGAAGTACTACTGTCTCTCTACCTTCACCCATGCTACGACTTACTTAAAAAGCATATATACACAGGGTAACGACGCATCGAAGTTTCAATCGTGCACCGAGCCACAATTTGGGCAAAGGGGTGTGTACGAACGATATATGTCAATAGGACCCATGCGAAGAAGCGACGGGAACGCGACTGATATGAGTGCGCCTCTGCGCAGAAGAGAGGGCACCCAGCACACAGGCCAAATCGAAGAGTCGCTAGTTGCGACCGCGAGATGGCTCGTGGTTGTGCTCCTTGGGGGGTCGTTCCAATAACTTCATCGTTGGCATGTTTACATGCAGTGATGAAGCTCATCCTGCAACCTCCGTCGTGACCCTCCAGAGCCTCGAAGATGGCCAGAGGGAGGTGAACGTCCGTGGACGCTGCTGAGGTGCGGTCTCTTGGGATGAGACTTGTACGTTGTCTCCTTGTCGACAGTCGGCCTGAGTCATCGCGCCCACTGGTATTTCTCTCTCATCTAGGAATGAGAGCGAGATGTGTGTTTGACAGTGCCATAACTCGGCGACGGCAGCGCGCCTCTTCTCAGGGCGGAAGGACTGGTCAGTCGGGACGTATAGGGCGCCGCGCAAGTCTTCGTCCCGGGGCGGACCCCATGTTGTGTTCAGCGGGAATCTTGGTATGTTTGCCTCAGACTCTAGAGCGACGAGGCGTATGCGTCCCGCAGTAATGGCAGAGACATCAGGTCCCTCTGTCTCACATGCGCCTGGAGGTATCAATGCCAGCTCGTCGCTGACGCATTGCAGCTGACCCGATGCTCTCCGCGGAGATATCGGTATGCATCGATTGAAGTGGGATGGGTGGCCCTTGGCGCAAGGAGTCGCAGATGGCAGAGGATGCGGCTGTTCGTCGACGCTGGTCGTCTGTGGAGACACCGTGGACCGGCTCGTGGCATGGATGTACATCGACGACAGCGAATCCGATGACGAACGCAGTCCGTGGGGTTGTGTGTTTGCTGACAGCGTCGTGTTTTGTATGGCAAGGACCGGCACCGATGTATCCGGGAACTGGACGTCAAACCTGGGGGCGGCGTCGTTCAGGAACGCGAAATCCATGTATTCTGTAGGATCAATGAGGTCGGTATCCTTTTCCGTGATTGACCTGTCTTCATCGCCACTGATGGACGTAGGTGTAGTCCACGTCTGTTGTGGAAGGGGAGGAAAGTGAAATATAGTAAGCCTCGAAACCTGTCATGAGATAGAAGGTTGCTCACCAAGAAGTTCCTAACGTCGATGCTCTCTAGCCGCTCCTCATCGTCAGCGTGGAGGTCCTCAAAAGTCTTGAGATCGAACGCGGATCTGCCTTCTGTACTCTCCTCGTTCGCCGCGACCTGTGGCGGCCAATAGAGAACGGAGGCGGATTCGGGGCGTGGCGGCCATGGTAGACCCAGGTATACGGCGGGCCGTACGCGGGTGGTTAGCCCGGCATCCAAGCCGCCAAGTCCAGCGGGTCCAAGCTCGGGTCCATGCAATGCCAACCCCTGATCATATGTCAGAGCACTGTAGCGAGGTGCAATGTAACTACGGGCTCACGGTCGGTGGTCCATCGAGAACGCTGGTATATCTCGGTGCTCCGGGGACATACAAGGATGGAACCTCCCCGTGGTTTCGTGACTTACAGGGCATTGATGTAAATTCGAGACCGGGCGGGTAGAGGGGGTTCAGCTGTCGAGGGCTGCAGATCCGAGGCATGAGCGTATTGTTCAAGATCGGAGAGCATGGACGGTGCACGAACTCGGAGACAGCGGAGACCGTGGATGTGACATTCGGAAAGAGAACGGTGAGTGCCATGGTCTGGATGGAGTTCATTGTAAAGGAGAAGCTGAGTAGTGCACAGTAGACTGTGGCCTAAGGTGACGAGAGTGGTTGCGGACAGGGTTGGCTCTGCGCGCTTTTCAGCACGCGTCGGGGGCTGCCCCGCTGGATATCCAGCGCGTCGATCACATGTGCGTGTCGCGGGAGGCGTGAGACTTCTTATTGTACTCGCCAGAGCGGTTGACTGACAATTCCGTGGTTTGTATAGATTATTATTCCGGGATATGTACATGACTCGACGTCCTGTGCCCATAAACAAAGGCCAGTTGCCGAGCGTATGTCCTCTATGAAGATCAGAAATGTGTTCTAGCTCATCCTTGCCTTCGAGCACCGCGTTACGAACCCACCCACATTGTCCGCGTATTGGTGGTCGGAAGCCGATCAACTAATCGACATCCCACGCCTTTCGGTTGAGCGTCCTATCACAATAGAAAGAGTTGATAGTACATGTCTGTAGCCACAGAGATGAGTATTTCTCGTCAGGATGCTGATAAGACAAGGTATGAACATGCGTGCGATTGCTGAACAACGTAGGTCATCCATCACTCACCACGAGACCTGCCTCCTAGTCGAAGAACGCACCGAAGTATGTCGGTGATAGAGATCCTGTCGCATTCATCGTGGAGCGATGGCCGGACTCGTCGCAGCAGGAGTAGCCCTCGTGAAGACAGTGACGCATACGGAGGTGAGAGCGACACGTAGGTGGTCTCGATGTTGGCTAGTACCTGTCGGAGACAGGGCTACGGTCATGAATGAATAATGTGATGCCGTTGAGTTTCTTTTTGGCATGTCTCTAAATGTTAAACTATCGAAAACCAATGAAGCTCTCTCTACCTGGCATCGTCGTCTGCTCGTCTTTGAGGCGCTCAGGCATCCTGGTTGCAGGACTTAGCTCTGGCCAGGACAGCACGGGAATGGACCAAACCTCGTGCAGGACTCTCCCTGGAGATCGACCGCACAGGTCCCGGATGACGGCAGGGTCAGGGCAGCGGGCTCGGGTACGAAGGGGGTCGGAGGGAAGCGTGGCCGCTCCGCTGACGACGGCGAAGACGAACGCGCCATGAGAGGTGAACTGCATGTTGATTCCTTTTTTGACGAAGCGACTCTTCAGTGGAAGCCGAGCTGGTCTACAACTTGCCCTGGTCACCGTGGTTTCAGATGCGACTGTAGGTGCTTGTCAGATGCCTGCAGTTGTCGTTGATGTCCTCACTTCAGATTTACAGGCTCGTACATGCTCGCTCTCGTAGCTAGCCTCCGCGCAGCCGTGGCCGTAGGTGAGCAACGTCCCTATCCTCGATGCGCGCGACTCAGGCACTAATTGCTGAACATTTGTTACTTGACACAGGCTCGAGGCCCTCTGCAGCCTGTGGAAACGAAGAGAGACACCAGTGTGCAGTGGACGCACCTGTGCCGCACACACGATATGGTGTCGCTCTCCACGCCGATTCATGGAGTAGATGCACCCTCACGCGTGACCGCAAGCTCCAGAAGAGACGGCGAGCTCGACGGAGGCAGCGTTTGCGATTGGGTCGGACCAGCGCCTGTCCTGCGAGTCGTTATCGACAGCTGCTCCGAACAAGGGAGCCTTCTTCTACCGTGCCGCGCTTGGCATTCCATGATCGGCGCGTGATTACTGGATCTCAACACGCGGTTTCGCTGCTGAACGACTGATGCGCTAGTCATACCGCCATTTTGGATCCGATGGGGCAGGTGATCCCACCTGTCACTCTGCGTTATGTCGAGTCCGGAACCTCCCCCGCACCATGCACTCGCACTTCGCCACAGTGTACCAATGCAGGGACTACCAAGGCTATCCCGAGCGAGAAGGGGCGGATGCGTGCTGCACGGAAGACTCGTTCAATTCGGCATCTAGGCTGACAGGCAGAAGAGGCTTGTACTTCGATACTCGTACGATGAATCATACCCCACGTACTGACTTGCATTATCCTGCTCCATAGGTAGCTGGGATTACACTTGAGCGCATATACCAATATCGTCTCAAGTAATTCGCACTTTGTGGAAATAAACACAATGCTGATCCAGAGCTCACATTCAATCCGTTCAGCTCTCATATCGTATATGCGCCAGACGCTATTTACACAGGTAGGCGTGCGTTCAGCTCTTCCTCTTCCTTATCGGTTCTCTGTCGTGACCCCGCTTCCCCTAGGCCGAACTTTGAAAGCAGAACGGCGGTCTGCATATCCAAACCTAGCCTCGTTCGTTCAGCGTGCACGGTACATTTTCCGCACGCTGCATGGAAGCCCGGATGATGGTTCGACCTTCTTCGAACGCATGAATTATTGACCTTTTCAGAACTAGATATAAGCCTGTACAACCGACCTCCTTCCTCCAACGCACCTTGCAGTACCTGTTCATCTAGTAAGTATACCCCCAACGCCTGAAGCTCGCCATGATACTGACTGGCTTTCTCTCATCCACAGCAACATGCGTTTTTTCATCCTCGTCGCTCTCTCGGCCGTCGCTGTCATTTCGGCCGTCCCAGTCGCGGTCCCGAACGAGGACTCCGCTGCGGCCAACCCGACCGAGAGCGGCTCCTCAGGCTTCCCCGAGCCCACGGGGTGGCCGACGGGGATCCCTTCCGGCTTCCCCACTCCCCCCGGATTCCCCACGGGTCTGCCCTCCGGTTGGCCCACTGGCTTCCCCACCCCGACTGATGGATTTCCGTCCTTCTCGTTCCCACCGCTCCCGAGCGGGACGGGCGAGCCTGGATTCCCTCCCACTGGGCTGCCCACTGGGATCCCTGGTGGCTTCCCCACTGGACTGCCCGGCGAATCCTTCCCTCCTGCGCCGGCCGCCTCTGCCGCCATGTAAGGAGAGTCAAGTTGAAGCAGACGTCGCAGTCAACAATCAGTGAGCTTTTTGGTCCCTGCGAACGTATAGGATGTGAGCTGACGGCCACGGTCTGTGTTAGTACCAGCGCGCTCCCGCTGTCGTCGCTCCTTGCCCGGATCCCCGACTGAAATCGGTGCAGAATTCTCATTCAGACCGTCACTCCTTCGCTGAAAACACCTTCGAGGCTTTCATGTTAGAAATCTTGCGTGTTGTGTGTATCGCCGTAGAGAGGTTCCATAGCTCCCTGTCCCGCGTGTCGCGATGAAAACTATCAATCATGGTGTAGCACTATGGTATACTCGGGCCGCGTGTTTTCAAAGCATCAATCAGCGAAGGCCGGGAGGGCGGTAACAATCATCTTGTGGTAACTGTGTGACCCCTGAACGATGACTCCCGTCTTCATGATTCAGAGCACTGATTCAAGGTTGATATAATGATTCTAGGTTGATAAGAGAGGATCCGCTGGTGATAAGGAAGTCCGAAACAGCAGTTCAAAACGTGAGAATTGTACTAGTTCTAATGGTGTGTCTATACAAGACTTCCCTGCACAGTTATGCAGCTGTGAGAACGATCCTGCCCGCTTTATACAGACAAGGAACTGTTGGTAATCCTGACGAAGGGCAGGATGCCCCTGGGAGGCTCAGACTAAGGCTACCTGTGTTCTGAAAGTCCTGAGACGGATCGGCGGCAAGCGCCTCAGTCACGCGTTATTCGCGTGTCAGAGCAATGCAGGCGCTACTTTCCTCGTAGCCCGGGTGTCTTCTCGTCCTACTCGAGCATGGTCCGCCAAGGACGATGTCCACCACACCAGTGGCACCGTGTGCTTGGAGCATACACGAGATGAGCTTATGAGATCTATGGTCGATCATGAGCCATGCGCAAGCGCGCCGCTGCACCCAGGAAATTCGGTGGTTAAGACGCAAGATATGGATGGCGGTGCTGATTCGCTGCGTGATATTCGAGTTTGTCGAGAATCATAAATCTGATAAGGTGATGCTATCTGCAAGGCTTCTGAGCGCGTCGTCCCACGGGATTGTGGGTGGGAGCAGAGCCCAGCGAAGCCCTCGGGGCTGAGAATGTGGGTTATCGAAACCGTATCGTGGACACCATCATGCTCAGAGAATACGGGGAGATGAGGGGCCTGTCCCTCGCGCTGTCCATGTGATACCTGAGTGGCCCAACACGCACTAAGACGCGTCTTTGGGCGCCTTCAAGCGCTGAAGAGCGAGCCGTGTACCACCTACCGCTGCTTATCCTTCGCTCATATCCATCGCATCCATCTGCCGCAGTGCATCTATTATCTCTCCCCTCTTCCCCTCTCTCTGCTCCTTATTTCGCGTCGTCTACATTGTTCCCGCTGGTTCCATCCACCACTAGCTCCCCAACCACCGATCCGCAAGCCAGAATCTCCCATAGAACTCAATGGAATTCATACGTTGCACGTTCTCACATTCGACTCGAGCACACGTGCTCCAGATCGCGTCTCCAGTACCGACTAAGCACTGGAGCAAATTCGACGCCATCCTAGAATGGAAGGAGCAGACATCGCAGGCATTCGACGTTGGTTCCTGCGACGACGAGCGGGCAAGCGTATCTCCTGAATGCATAGACACCCCTGACTGATATTCGATTTCACAGATCGTGCTTCCACCTATGCGTGCCCTAGACGCAACTTTGCGCGAGGATAAACGACGACGCGACTGGACCACCTACCGCAAGGTAGTCGAGGCCGATCCTAATACCACCGTCGCGCCCCCTTGGCCTCCATTCGCTCCTCCTCCGCGCTTCCCTTCCCCCGAGCTGGAAGATTCACCTCCAATATTCGAGTCGTCGACATCTACCTATTCTGACACCGCTAGCTGCCACGGCCTGTCACCCGCGAATGGAGAATTTGGCGGGTATGCACGGTGGAAATACGTTCTTGAGAGGTTCACCCCCGCAAGCCCTCCGTCGACCTGTGAACACGCGGATGGAGAACACACCTCGGTCTCCGAATCTTCCTCCCCGCGTACGCTCTCAGATACCACTGGTACAACAGCGTCGTCCAGCCTTACCTCAGACACACTCTCCGAAAACGCCGAGGAAATGAGCGCAGCTGCTGCGGTACAGCACACGTCGGACACGCACGGCAGCGGTGCTGGAAACACAGATGACCTTGCGGTTTGCATCGCGCAGATGCTGCTCGAGTGCAGGGAGGAAGCCGAGCTGAAGCCGAGCGCGGAAGCGTTCTTCGAGGAGGACGCATTGGCCGATGGGGATATATACGACCACGAGTTGGAAGAGGAGATCCGTGAAAGGGCAGCGATCGCGCAGGAGCTGAACTGGATGCTCATGGGGGTGCTGCCGATGGGGTGACTGCAGGCGTGCGCGGTGACGTGAGACATTTGCGGGGTATTGATGTTGAAGGTTCGTGCCGCACATTCCACTCACCATGTCCGAAGCTTGACACGGCATGATGTGTACTAGGCATCCACCCTCTCCGCCTCCCAAGTATAAACACACCTTGTTGAGTCCCGAATTGCGTTCCCAAGTGTCCGCTACGGTGGTGGTTCGCATATTGAACTGCGTGATGGTCCGTACATGTACTATATCTCAAAGTCGTGCTGCTTCTCGGTCGCTCTATTGCTGTATGATTGTCTCCGTGTATATCATGTATGGCGTCCGCACCGGCGTGTCAGCACGCGGCGCTCTGTGTAAGATAGGGTCAGAATGAAAATAGCGTATGGCGTTGCGGAGATCCAACGAGATCCATAGCTCGCTTTGGGCCTATAATCCTCGGCGATGGTCCAGCTCCCTGAACGACGGGTGTATTTGTCAAGGACAATTAATATCATACACATGTACGACGCGCACTAGAGACAGACACTCTCGTTCCGTGAACAAAGCAGCCCCAAAGCGGATATGCGCCATGGCTCCTGGAAAATCCCTGCCGAAGATGGCTGCATGTGACAAAGGACCTTACGCGTATCGTCACTGACGCGTGGGTGCTCAAGCGCGCGAACCTGAACTTGAACCTGTCTTTGACCTCGACCACTCACCTGGCATTGTTCGACATTGTTCTCCACAAGAACTCAGCAGTTTACCACCACCACACAGCAGCGTTATCATGTCTTCCTTCGCACGTCTGCTTTCTGCCACTTCGAACGGCACGAGCTACCCCGGCTCAAACGACTCGACGCGTCCTAGTACGCCAATCGCGGAATCTCGAGGACAGCAGCATGTAAGCTTTCACCATGGATGTGTGGATGGTCTTGTACTCACCGTAGATGATTGTCGTCGCGCTTTGTACCAGAACGACGATGGCCTCCCCCCGCTTGACGCGCTCCTGTCAACGGATCAGCCGACGCCATCCGTCGAAATGGAACACGCGTGCCAAGATGTAAAGACAGACCAGAAGACGGTAGACAATGACACCAGCTCAGTCGCGAGCAACATGGTCCTGGCTCCCGGATGGCGCGTCTTCATGGCCTCTCCGGATGCTCGTGCTGGCACTGAAGATCACATTGACGCGGTCGAGACGCGGAGGAACGGGCAAACTGACCTCAGGTCCCGCTTCACTGAGTCGTCCGACCGAGTCGTGGACGCGTCTACCACTTGGGAAAGCTTCTTTGCGAGATTGCGCGACACCATGCTTTCGGAGATCGAGGCCGTTGACGAAGAAGATTAGGATTCGCTCGCGCAAAGATTCAGTTCCCTGTATGATAGAGAGTGTTAGAGATGAGTTGCTATGTCAGTTGTCATTTCACACGCCCTTCACTGCTTACTGACGTGGCAAACGATCCCCAGGACTAATTCGATTGCGCGAGCGTGCACCGTTCTGACTATCTCCCTTCCACCATTCGCGTGTTGTTGCTACTGCAGTCTCTACTGCCTTGTTAGAGACTGCCTTGTTATTGGGTTTTCTCGTCAGGTCATTACGTTAGTATCACATCATAATTCGGACTCGCCCCATCTATATGCCTTCCCTGTTACTTACTTACTTGTACTATATCTCTGCCAAAGCTTGTATCTGAAACATACAAAGTTCTCGCGAAGGATGTCGATGTGGTATGCGTTTGCAATCTGGCCCAGCCATTGCCCGTCAAATAATATTGTCGCACTACCCGATGGGTGTTGACTGCACAATTGATATATTTGCCATACTAAGAATGTTATTGCGCTAATGGTATAGTGGTATTCGGGGCTTGCACCATTTTCTCGTCGTCGTGGGTTCAATCCCCAAAACACTCCTTTTTTCCGCCGTCCCCCAGAAGCTATACCTAGCTTAATTCTTTGCATGGATGCATATTACATATTTCTATCGCTACCGGACAACACTAGTGAGGCATGTCAAACTGCCCATAGAGTTGCAACTCGAACCCCTTCGCTACCGAGTAGTAGGGAGGGGCAACCTATCCAGCTTCGCGGTACCATCCCGGATCAACGCATCACTCACTAATTTGTCCTTGAGGTCGTATAACGTCTTGTAGAGAACTGCCATGGATACTCCCTTCATGCCGGCAACCTTCCCGATCTGCTGGAAGTTCCTTGGGTGGCCCAACAGATGGCTCGCGAAGAAGATCGCGCCCCCAGCGATCGTCGGGGGAGATCGACTCGTTGGGGTCTCTAGCTCCCGCAACTTCACCACGACGTCCGTGCTGACAGAGACCACGCTTTGAGGAAGACCAAGATAATTGCAGTACCGCACCAGAAGGTCCTGCGGTCCGCCTTCATAGGCGCCGCTCTCCTCATCATACCCGACCGTCGAGCCAGATCTCAAGTTGAACTTCTGCTCAAGCTCCCTATAGGCCCGTCCGATGTCCTGCTTGTCCACGGACGTCACCTGGCAGATCTCGATGAACGTACGCGGCACGCGTGCTTGCCTACAAGCGATGAAGAAGCAAGCGCCGAGCGTCGCTTCGTACTGTGCACGACTGCGCAGGCGACTAGGGCGGATATTCTCCTGGTCAATACGCCAGTAGAGCTGCTTCGTGATATCCAAGACTGTATTCGGAAGCTGAATCCGCGCACACATATCATCGATGTCACGGAAAGCCTGTCGTACGCGGCGCTCCGAAGGAGAAAGGTTCTCGGCCTGCCTCGCCACGCGGCGCAGGTCTTGGGATATACTTGAGCCACTATCAACGGAGATTGTGGTTGCGAGGTGTTCCAAGCCAACCCCAAGACGGTCCTGCACTTGTCCAACGCGGCAATGGGCATGAGTAGTTTCATCCGAGTGTGTCGAAGTGAATTCCTGAGCAGAAGTTTAGCGATCTTTGTGATCTGTTGAATTGCAAGACACTCACGCGCCACTCGCTCCGGGTGTCAATGATTCTGTCGCTGAGAACCAGACCACAAGAGCCACAGACGAGATCCCCATCACGGAACTCCTCCACAATATTCGGAGGGTACTCTTGGCAATCTCTGCAAATGAGACGGACAGCGAGATCCGGAGCGAAGGTAGTTTGACCGCTGTTTTGAACGGATTGCGCGAGAGGAAATGGTTGGGCGTAAGACATGGTGTGGTATGAGGGGGTGATGTGATGATATTGAACGACGACCCTCAATGTGTTGAGACTTAAGTACATTCTGCTCTGAGTGGCGTGGGATATCGTCTGATAGGGAGCGACGGGCGCAGCAGGGCGTATTTTGCCCATCCACAAAGGAACCTCCGCTTTGGTGGAACAATCGGTTGTGCGTGCGGTGTTGTCATATACAGGAGAATGCAGCCAGAAAGTCTAAAGCGGTGGCGTGCGAAGCTATAGCGACAACCACCGTCGATATAAACCTTGGGCCAGCGGCGCAGCACCTGTGGAGACGTAGATGAGTGATAGATTGTAAGCGGCCTCACGGGCCAGCCCAACGTCCTGGAGAGCGAGAACAATCAAAACGGTTCGTCTGAGAACCTGGGGCGATTAGCACTTACTTCGCTGTTGAGCTTCGACCTCGCTTCTGCTGCCTGTAAAACACGCTCGTAGTGTCGGACTGCGAGAGAGTGCAGCCCTAGACGCGACGTCAGATAACCTCAGATATATAGATAACGAGACAACATACCCAGCTGTTGGAATACGCGACCGAAATTGTACTCCACCTCGTCCAGGCCCTCAGCCGTCTCTCCCCGTAATTCGCGATACTTGGTAAGGAAAGCCATTCCCTGCCATGGGTGTTATCGTCAGCAATGCTGGCGGGGTGACTGTGCCCAGACCCACCTGAGCTATGAGGTGGTGCCTGTTATCCGATTGTCGCTGCATCGCACGGCCGACGGACGCGATCGCCAACGACAAGCACACAAGAGGGTCGTCCGAGGTATGATCGTAAGCCTGGAGGAGATAGACTGTGGGCGCGTGAACAACAAATCATCTTCTACGCAGAAAGATGCTCACAAAGCGCGCTCTGGTAGCTCCTGGCTGCGAGCAAGATTTGCCCATATACCGCAACGTTGAGAGGGTTCGGTTTGGTAGGCAGTTTCGACCTCTCCAGTTCCGTCACCGCGGGAGGCTCGACGTCCTCGTCTTCGTCCGGGGCATCGTCAGGATCGGCCTTTCCCGCAGATCCCGACAGACCGTACCTGCGTTGGGTGGTGTTGAAGCGGAGAGCGTCCGGGTTGTTCACTGCGGCGTCTGCAAGGCGGGTTTCACGGAGCAGGTGCTTAGAGAGGGTGGAAACAAGGAACGCGTCCGTCGCACGAAGACCACTGCCGAGGGACGATACGAGGACTCGTATAGGCTCATTGTTGAACTGATGTGCGTTGATCAGCTTGCGCGCTTGTTCCACCACCGTCTGGAACTGGTCGGCATGGATTGCACATGCTGTAGTGTGTGATTACTAAATACGCACAAGCTAGCGATATATGGATGCTTACTGATGATACCGAGGCGGATGGAGTCTTGGGATGATCGCGATTGATACGCATTGGAGAATAGCAGGTGGCGCAGAACTTCGTTGCCCAGATCAAACTGTCCTCGTCGGGTAAGCAGGAAGGCATACTGCGATATCCCCTGCTGTCAGCAGAAGTAGCATATAGAGGGAAAGGGCGAACTCAACGTGCATAAACAACCGCGACCAGTCTTCAAAGGAGATCCCTCGGAAATTGTTCACGTTCTCGCTCTTAGCAGCCTTTCTTGCAAGCGTATCCCGACCTGACCCCGTTACCCTCAGTAGGTGAACCTCCCTCAAGGATGAGTGTCACGAACCAAGCTCAAGCTGCAAGCGTGAAGCCATACTATCCTCGCTCGCCTCCGTGGTCTGCTTCCTCGCGCTCCTTGGAAACATGCCCCTAAATCCGCGATGCCGGCTCGTCAAGAACAGCGCCCTCGTCTCTCTGAAACTCTCCACGAGCTTCTCCGCTTCCACGAGCCACTCCCTCATCGCCTCATCGTCGCCTGCGAGCATGCGTGGCCACAGGTCTTGCACGCGGTGCCAGCTCTGCTGTGCCTCGCGCTCCTTCTTCGCCTCGAGCTCACGCAGCTGCGTGGGAGTGAGCTTACTCGCGGACTTGGCGGGCATACCCTTGCCTCTGGCCACGGAGCCGCGAGCCTTGCCTTCTTCAAAGAGGGAGGCGGAGGACGGGGCGGACGGGTCGAAGGTCCCTTCGCGCTGGCCTCCGCGGCGTTTTCGGGAGTCGATGACTGTGATTCAAACAAGGGTTAGCCAGTATGATGAGAGATACATACAGAAGACTGGTTTACCTTGCATAACTAGCTCAAGCGCCTTGCGTGGTTCGTTGAGGATCTCGAGAATCTCGGCAAGCTTCATCTTGGCGTCGTTGTTGGTCGGATCCGCTTGGATCACTGCGTACAGTGTCTAGCGATCGAGTTCTGAACAGATGTTGCGAACAGACACACTGACCATGCTCGTACACTTCCGCAGCCTCCTTCAAGTCTCCGACCATCCGCCGGCAGGCGGCAGCCTGCAGGAGCACGTACATACTACTAGTCTGTCAGTAATCCGACATCAGTGTTACCATAACGTCGAGCGACCGCGAAGGACACCTACTCCAGCGTCACCTCCGAGCATCTCGTATATGTGCCCAGCTTCAGAATACATTTCCCGCTCGAAGTACGCGTCTGCGATCTCGGAGAAGAGCGGCGCGTATTCGGCGACATCCTGCCCCAGGATGACCTTGGCGTGCATCTGTACGCCGATGAGAGTTAAATCCAACCGATGTCCTACGAAGCAAGTTTACCTTCCCCTCCTCCATGTCCCCGCCCCGGATCCTCGCAATCGCCAACCTATGCCTCGCATTCACGTCCAGCGGATAATAGCCCGGCTGCATCTCGCCCTCGCCAGCCCGAGCCGCTCCGTCACCACTATCCGGCGGCACGTCGTACTCCCGATCATCCTCGCAGGCGTCCCAAAACTTCTGCCCGCCCCGCCCCTGCAGCCAGCGACATCCTCTCCTGATCGTCTCCACCGCCTTGCCATGATCGCCCAAGGTGTTGTACAAATCGGCGAGGACGAGAAGGTGCATGAGCCCGAACCCGCCCCCAGGGACTTCCGCCCCGGTCTCAGGGTCGACGCCGCGCCCGGCAGGGAAAGCGGACATGTAGTGCGCGAAGGCGTCCTGGAAGAGGGAGGCGCAGAGCGCGAGGTCAGAGAGCTCGATGAGGATGGGGCGCAGCTCGTCGAGCACGGGGAGGGAGTGCGGGAGGCGCTTGAGCATCGCCAGCAGCGTCGAGCGAGCCTGCATCGGGAATCGGAGGTCAGAACGGAAGAGGGGGACGGGGGTACTGTGAGGACCTACGGTCTTCATGTCGCCGAGCTCCTTCGCGAGGGACGCGCGGTCCCAGAGCGCGCTCACGTTCGTCGGGTCGAGGCTGCATATCTTCCCGTAACAGTACAGCGCCTGCTGGTTGTACCCCAAGTCCCTGTGTTCTCCAAGTCAGCGCCCCACGCGCCCTCACATCGAAGCGAGGCGCCTCACCTTGACTGCCGCGCGAGGTCTGCCCACTCGTCGGCGTCGTGGTTGAGGTGCGCGGCCATTATGCGCAGCTGGAGCGCCTTCCCGCGCTCGCCCATGTCGCTGTAGCACTGCGCGAGCACGCTCCACGCGGGTGCGGCGCGCGGCTCGATGCGGATGACCTCCTGCATGATGCGGATTGTCTCGGGGAGGTTCGCGTCTACATAAGCTTGGTTTCCCTCGCCGACCAGGGCGCGCACTTGTTGCGATAGAACGGGGCCGCTGCGGCGGCCGCGCTAAGGGAAGGTCAGTTTAGGTTATTTGAGGAGGGGAAGAAGTCTTGGGGAGAGGTGCGTCTGGGGATAAGGTCGACACCGTACGACACACGGCGAGAAAACGATTCTACGCGCGTTCGCATGTCGCGGTGCATTACCGTAAACAGTGGATGTGGATGTCTCTCTGGTCTATACGCACAACTCCCTCATCTCACGTCGTTTCCACTTCGCCAAGAAGGAGCGTACAGAAAAGTCAGATCGCCGTTTTCCACATACGTAAGGACAAGGTCCGTCGAGATGCGAGTGAGGGGTCGCCTTCCCCATATCGTGCATCGCTCTAGGTGAAGCTTGCAACACCGTGCGCGGAGCACGTAAGCGGCCTAGCATCGTTCAAAAAATCACTTCTCCTGTATATGGACGCTACCGTCGCCAACTAGATCCGCTCTATATTGAAGACGAAAATCTGCATACACCCAAGGCTTTCTGAAGGAACCACCAAATATGGCCTGCGCACTAACACGCGGCTCCGGGTACACGGAGCGCAAGTATGCAGTTGGATGCGAACGCACCTTCTTCTTAGTCTTGCCTACTCCAGACGCCATGCGGAGGTCATCCTTGAACTCGGCCTCCCGCTCCTCAAGGTTGACGTCCCACATTCTGCTCAACATCCCAGAACTCTCACCGTCATCGGCTCCGCGTATGCTTTGAATTAGTCTGTCGAAGTCGCCTTCAATCGCGGCTTCGACCCGGGCATCTTCAGCGTCCGCTTCCGTCAGGAACTGCTGCGTGCTGGGCCCTTCCCCGCGGTCCGGGAAGCTGCTTGGCACTGAGGCATTGTGATGCTCATCGTAGTCGTCTTCTTCGGAGCTTTCCGAATCGGATGTAGAGTAATACTCCTGAGATCCCTCTGCATCCTCGTCTGTGAAAATGTTGTTAAGTGTCGTAGGAGAAAGGCGAGAATATATGCGAACGAACCAGAAGATGCCCAACCCGAAGGTGGGTTGTTATCCATGATTCGGACTTGGGTTTCAAACAAGTAACGCAGATATGGAACTGGCACAGAAAGAGATGCGAAAAGTGATGAAGCTGACCAGAACGACTGCAGCACTGAACTACGTAAGACGCGAGAAGCAGAGGACGGCCCGGAAGCGCGAAGCCCGTTACGTCACGCACAACGTTCTGTGACAAGACTGTGACATATCGTGCTTCCTCTCGGCTAAGTTGCGGTTCATCCTCAACCGTCCCTGCCGTCGCCGCTGCCTGAGACATACCGGTCTTTCCACAGCGTGGTATGTGACTCATTCAGTACACGATTTTAATATTATACACTACACTATTATGACGTGAGTGTAAATCTACCTGTTCGCGAGGTCGGCGCTGCTCAGCAGTATTCTCTCCGCATAAATTTCCGCCACGAGCAGATGGAGAAGCTAGGGAATATCAAGATTTCGATAGGCTGCAGCAGTTGCGGATGCGTCTATGGCGAGTCCGTGCTACGTGTCTGTGTCTTGGGTGTCCACCCAAGTGCTTCCGTCTACTGATGTTTCTCTCTCATCTAGGAATGACGTCTTCTCAGGGCTGAAGGACTGGTCAGTCGGGACGTATAGGGCGCCGCGCAAGTCTTCGTCCCGGGGCGGGCCCCATATTGTGTCCAGTGGGAATCTTGGTATCTTTGCCTCAAACAACATAGCAACGAGACGTGTGCCTCCCGCTTGCTCGTGGAGGTCCTCGCTAGCGCCTGCATCAGGTCTTTCTGTTTCACATGTGCCCGAGGTCGTACATAGATGACGGCTCGTTGTGAACGAATTGTAGCTGGCTCGACGCTCTCGGCGGAGATATCGGTATGCGCCGATTGATGTGGAGTGGGTGATCCTTCTTGGCACAAGGAGCAACAGATGGCAGGGCAGGATGCGGCGGGTCATCCTCGCCGGTCGTCTGCGGAGACACCGCGGACCGGCTCGTCTTATGACTGCACATTGATGACAGCGATTTCGACGACGGACGAACACCGGAAGACTCTGGGTATGCTGATGACGTCGATTTTGGTCTAGCACGAACCGGCATCGATGTATCCGGGAATTGTAGGTCGAGGTTGGGGGAGACATCGTCCAGGAAAGCGAAATCCATGTACTCTGTAGGATCAATGAGGTCGGGATCCCTGTCCGTGATTGACCTGTCTTGATCGCTACTGATGGACGCAGGTGTAGTCCACGTCTGTGGCGGAAGCAGGGAGAAGTAGAATCCAGTGAGTCATGAAATATGTCATGAAATAAGAGGTTGCTCACCAAGAAGTTCTTCACCTCGATGCTTTCTAGGCGCTCCTCATCGTCCGCGTGAGGCTCTTCAAAAGTCTTCAATCCAAAAGTGGAGGTGCCCCTTGCACGCTCCTCATTTTCGGCGACCTGTGGGGGCCAATAGAGAACGAAGGTGGATTCTGGGCGTGGTGGCCATGGCAGGCCCAGGTATGTGGCGGGCCGTAAGCGCGTGCTAAGTCCGGTATCGAAACAACCAAGTCCTAAGTGAGCCCCTGTTCATCCGTCTGAGTACTGAAGCAAGGTCTATTGATACTACGTGCTCACAGTCTCTGGTCGTGGTTGCGTGACTCACAGGGCATTGGCGTAATTCTGAGACCGGGCGGGTAGAAGGGTTGAGGACTGCGGATCCGAGGTATGTGGGCGTATTGTCCAAGGTCGGAGAGCATGGACGATGCACGAACTCGGAGACGGTAAGCAGGAAGGATTGTATGTTTGACGGCATACTGGTTGGCGCGGTATATATCGTGGGTCACTGTTAGGGTACCTGAGTCGATACCCGCGTCGCAGCAGGATATGTAGGGATGGGATGTGGTTGTGAGTGTGGATGGACAGGCAGCTCTACGTGCTCCAACGCGCGCGTTGTCGTGGCAATGAGCATGGGATCCATCTGAGGTGGTGATGTTGGATAAGCGAGTAGTTGAATATCAATGCGGTGCGTTCGGAATGTTTATGTGCACGTTTGACCTGCCGGTGCTCACAGAATTCAACTTCGGGATCTGGGGGTGGATGCGCTGCGGTACAGATGAATACTGGGATTTGTATGTTGGGGCTTTGCCCACTCGAACCGATGCTTCGATGTCTACGGCTATGGCGAGTGCCAGCTGAGGGCTGAGAATAGGTCTTTCCACCGCGGCCACACGGGAATTCCCACGGAAAGTGGTTCTCGTTCAATTGGACCTAGTGATATCTCGTGTGAGTGAACAGCTACTCATGTCGGCGACTATACTGAACGATCAGTACAGTCATAAGGCCAAAGGTATGACATGCGTACCAGATCAAACATCTTTGTCGCTCTGCTGACCCATGAACCGCGTGCTCAGAAGGACCCTCAAAGAGCGCGCACTCCTTCCGATCGTGCTGAATATGCTCTTCTTCCGGGTCTTGGAAGTTGCACAAGCTTTGCCGGTCAGTTGCATTCTCTCCATGCGAGACCATGAATCGGACGTCTGTAGTCGACGCGCTATTAGTTCCCAGAAGCCCACCGTGGGGCCTTGATGGGCGTTCGGACGTCAGAGCGTGGCCGCGGTGGCAATGTCCACCGCTGGAAGGCGCCGTCCAACTCGCAGTATGAAGAGCTCGCGGTCCCTGCGGCCTCTCAAGCCTCCAATCCGACTTTGTTCCCAATCTGTGCGCAGAAAACCTCTTGATATCGTGTAACTCTGTGATAGGACTCGGCGATCGCCTTGCTTCGCTACAGGCCTCCGCACGCCCGGGATAGAAATCCGATTGGATTCCTTGCGGCGGAAGAGGAACCGCCCCAGTGAGGTCTTGTGTGAGCACAGTGTCATCCTCGTCACTGATACTCGAAACCGTAGGAGAAGAGGCCGTGGAATGCGACGGAGACGACGTATGGCTTGTAAGCGATGACGCTCCGGTATCCGCGGAGAACGGTGTGGCTGTCGACTGGACGACCGATGTCGCCGACGGGGGCTCTGGTAGCTGTTTGAAAGAACGAGAACGATACGTGGGAAGGACCAGGCCGTTGTCGTCAAACCCCGTCATTGAAGAACCCGAGTATATCGATGAAGACCACGGCTCTCTCCAAGGCTCTGAGCTAGGCGAGTATGGCCGTGGCGGAGGAGGCGGAGCGGGCCAAGATACCATGGACTGATGTCTACGTGTATCCGAGTCGCGTAACGGGTTCTTGCCCCCTTCTTCAGGGTCGGGCCTCTGCCTTATCCTCAATTTTTCTTCGTGCCAGGCTTCGCAATTCTCCAGCAACCACAGTGCCCTAGACTGTTGTCCGCGGGAGACCGCGAAAGGCGATGGTGTCGTCAGGCTATACCAGCAGCCCGCAGCGAGCGAAACGCGCTTGCTTTCCGCGCACCTCAATCGATTCAAAACGCTGCGGAAGCGTGCATTGACTGTCTCTGGTCCAAGAGATGAGGGAGGCTCAAATTCCCTCCGGTAAGTACTCATGAGCCCTGACGAACCACGGAACACTCACCAAAGATGATAGCCCCGTGCATGGTCCCTTAGGTGTGAGGGATTCATTCGCGTAAGCTACTGCCGTGTTCTGAGGTCTTCTCGTTGCACTGCGGGACTGAGCGACTGTTAGAGGCACTACATTAGTCGGTCACGATGGTCGGTAGAGAATAGGGTAACACACCGTTGTGGGTGTTCTTCCCCATCGCAGCTGATTGCCAGTGCGGCTGAGGCGAAAGACGCGGGTACTGTGCTCCTTCGAAGAGAGAAATGTTGAACTCTTCCGAGAGTCAATTAGCACAGTCAAGAGGTAAGGAGCTCGAGGTGGGGGCCTTGCGCGCTTCTTGTCGTTGGACGCTAGAGCTTATATGTGTAGCTCACACGGGCGCGCATTGGCATGCTTTGTCTTCTTGTAGGCTCGGGTCCGGACGCTATCTATCTTCTTATGTCTTCTTTGCCATGTTTACGATCTCAATCTCATCAGATCTGTACGCTTTCCTGACTTGGGTTGAGACACAACAAGGGGCCTATTGCGGGTCCATAGCGTAGCTCTCTTTCACAAGGTACACGTCATCGTCTTTGGCGGTATACATATTCAACGATGAAAATCACCATTGTTGGAAAAGGTTGACATTCATTGCCACGAAAACAGCCCCGGCCAGTCCTATGGTCTAGAAATACATGGACCGGACTATGACAATGTCCGCTGATCAGATTTCTTACAAAGTCTTGCCCTCTTTGCTTCACAACCTCCGATCACCCTTTCTACATCGGCTGCGTAGATACCAAGGATATCTAGCAACTTTTCACTATCTTTCAATCTTTGGAATGTATAGTTGGTGCTTGGGTTCAACGTCCAACCCTAGCCCATGCCCGGGACGGCCCGGGCACTATGACTGATGGGATGCGATACAGACAATCAAGTATTTTCCTTGTACCACTTAATGTCCCAGCTCCAATCACTTTTACTCATTACCAGTCAGCGTTCTGTGCCTGTCGCGAGCTTTCAGGCCGGGTACCGAGGCGTGGCAGCCAACGTAATGATATCACGTGACCGCGTCCCCAGCCGCACACCGCACATTGAATAAAATCAGCATGTAACACAGTTTTATCAAACCTCCAAAATGGGGTTAGAATGGGATGCCTACCTAGGTAATTATCCTACAGTGGCTCTGATTACGATGGGGTCGCGATGGGACGCGATATGCCACAGGTCGATGTCCCCGGTGTTTGTTTCCCTTATATCTGCCTGTACGTCTACTATGTAGTTTTACCCACCACTTGAAATCGTTTGGAGATGATGTGCATGTCCGGGACCTTTTGATGCGAGGGAGTGCCACTCTACTTTAAGCTCACTCAGTGAATCCTGCTTTGGTCTTCTGGTGGCGCAGAAGTATGGACGCATCAAGAATGCGACGATTTTTTCTGCTATGCTTCGATTTGTGGAAGTGGCTTTGGACGGCACGAACCGATCTACCAAGAGCTCGCTGTTAGTCCACCGTTGTGCAACAGGCTGACGGAAGAAGGGCGATGCAAAGTTCAACGGATGTGAATAAACAATTGGTTCATTCCTCGGGAGGGAATATAATGCCGCTGTAGTTACGGTCTGGCGGGGACCACAGTCGCTGTCAAAGCGAAGGCTAAGCGCTGCTTGAGCCATTGAGAAATTGGGAATACATTCTGTAGAAAACTGGGTATTTAAGCAAGCTCCGTCGCTTAGTGGAGAGATCTCGTCAAGCCCATCACTCTAAAGCGTACATGTCTCTGTTGCGGGGAGGTACAAATGGCGAGCGCACTCATGTGCCTTTTGACCTGTATCGACGCTCTCTGGCACTGCATATCCACCACCCCTACGTCCACGTCTTCACTGCCAATATCCCCTCTTTCACACTTCAGAGAATATGACTCACGTATACGTTCCACGTACGTGGCGTAAATCTTGCTATAAAATCACCACATACTCACCCGTTGCTCCTCTTGCAGTCGCCCATCCCGAACCCAGGAAGGCTATGGGTCCAATCCCCCAGGGTTTCCTCTGGACGGAAGAAGACGAGAATAGCGAACTGCAGAAGGCGATTTCACAAGCGGCGCAGGTGAGTGACCCGTAACGTCGAAGCATTCATTGGGACGTCGGTACTCATGCTGTTGGTCACCAGCCCCCGCGGATCCCTATCATGCCAGCCGTGATAGAGCAGCAGAAGAGAGTCTTCGAGTATCGCCTCCACATGGCACAACATCGATCGGCCCTTGAGAACTCTTCTGACGTCTCGTCGGTAAACGCTCAACCACAATTGGCGAGCCCACCAGAGACGACGACGGCTCCACAATCCTTCGAGGGAGTACCGCATGTGGTCGTGCCTCAGCAACCGCACCACGTCTGGAACTCTGTGGTCGGCAACAGCCCTCACCCGCAAGACCTACCTGCGGCATTGCTCAGCTCGCCACTGTCTGCGACGTCGGAGCTACATCCCTGGGGAGGACAAGGAGCATGGCGCACACCGACGCCCCCCCGGGCTGACGGTCAGTGCGTCGTCCCATACGCCACTCGTCTTGCGCCATCGCTTGCGCTTGTGCCGGACCTTCAGGCCTATGAGACGTCGGAGAGGGTGAGGTCCGACGTTGGCTGGGGTACCGATCGGCCGGAGGCCCCCCAGGAACCGTGGCCTAAGTCGGGAACCTCGACTAGGACGCCGACGGCTTCCGCAACGCACGTCCCACACTGCTAGTCCAGGCCACTCACATCCACGTTGTGAGAGTCCGATCCGCATCTTCAGGCTGTGAGGAATCGTGCTCAGTCGCAGCAGATCGGTGTTCTAGGAAGAACCGCCCTTACCGCCTCTATTGAACCCTCCCGAACCCGTCAGCCGGTGGGATACCGATTGTGAACGTCCCTTATGATTCTCTCCATTGTGTTTTGGTAGTCAAGGTCGAGGTGGATGGGGGCAACTGCTCACCTGTACGTCGACGTCTTGGTACTAGACCTATATTAGGATCCCGCCTTGATAAATTTATATCGTGACAAATTGTGTCAGGAGTTCGAGACTGAGTGAAGCCACCGACTTTACATCCCTTCTCCAAGCATGTTGCTACTTCAAGAGGAATCTCGAATGGTACGACCGCTCTTATTCACTCCGTTCAACGTGTTTGCCAAGGGGGCGGTCATGGGGAGCGCCCGAGCAGATGAGGATGAGATGACATCAGTCGCGCCGACTTCGTCGGGGCTTTCTACCCACGCACAACATTCATATACGCCTCCTACACCAGCTGCCTTGTGCACGCTCGGACGCAGCACACCACCTAACACCTTGGACTCGCGACCCCTCGACTCGACCTACTGTACACGCACATTCGCCATCACGAAGACAACGAAGACAGAAATGCCGGTCCCCAAACACATCTTCAACCAGATCAAGGCGATCATCCCGCCACTCAACGGCACCCTCCACAAGGGCCAGTCAGGACGCGTAGGCGTCCTCGGCGGTGCCCTCGAGTACGTTCTCTGTCTGTGGTCCACACGCTCACACGTTCAAAATCGTGCAGTTACACCGGGGCGCCCTTCTTCGCCTCCATGTCCGCCCTGCGGTTCGTGAGTTAGGCGGATTGCCCTGCTGCCATCTCCACATTCTGAGCAAGTGTATACACTACAGGGCGCAGACCTCTCCCACGTAATCTGCTCACCTACAGCCGCCGGCGCCATTAAGTCCTACTCCCCAGACCTCATCGTGCACCCCATCCTCCGCGAAGAAGCGTACGCCCTCTTCCCTGCGCGGCACCCCCCCTCTCCGCGCTGACGTTGAGTCACGCCACAGCCCCATCGACTCTGTCAAGGAAACGCTCTCAGGCCTCCTCTCGCGCCTGCATGTTCTCATCATCGGCCCCGGGCTCGGGCGCGAAGACTACATGCAGACGTTCGCGAAGCTCGCGCTGCACATCGCCAAGGAGCAGGGCATGTACGTCGTCCTCGACGCCGACGGGCTGTACATGGTCGGCCAGGACACGTCCCTCATCCAGGGCTACCGGCGCGCGGTGCTCACGCCGAACGTCGTCGAGTTCAAGCGGCTGAGCGAGAACGTGGTATATGTCCCCGTCCATCCTCCGTCCTCCTCCTTTCTCTGCCCTTCCTCGCTCCCGACCACCGCTCCTGTATCCACCCCAACTCACCTGCTTGACAGAAAATCGACCCGGACACCCCTGCGGACGAGCGTGCGATGCGCGTCTCGCGCGCGCTGGGCGGCGTCACGGTCCTCCAGAAGGGCGAGGCCGACAGGATCTGCACGAACACCGGAAAAGCCAGCAAAGAGGAGGCGCAGCTGAACCAGATCAAGGAAGGCGAGAGCGCGGAGGAGCTCGTCGTTGTCGACGTTCCGGGAGGGTACAAGCGGTGCGGCGGACAGGGCGACGTTCTGAGCGGGGCGGTCGGGACGATCATGGCGTGGGGGAAGTGCTACGAGGAGGGCGCTTACGGGTGCGTATCGCCTGCTTTGTCGTGCTGCGACTATGCGGATGTGCTGATTATCGAGGGTGGAATATGTAGCGACGGATCCATCCCGCCGTCGAGGATACCCCTTCTGGCGGCTGTTGGCGGGTCGATGCTGACGAGGACCGCGTCGCGGCGCGCGTTCGGGAAGCAAGGGAGGAGTAAGTGACGTCTCATCGCCTCTAGAAATTCTCGTCCCTGATGCGGTCCGTAGGTCTGGTGACACAGGATCTCTTTCCGGAGCTTGGACATGCATTCGAAGAGGTTTTCGGTTCAGGAGAAGGAGGAGCGGGCGCGCCGGTGAGCGAAGGCAAGCTGTAGAAAATGGGGATGTGGCAATTGTAGTCGTCAGGGCTGCAAGCTCACATGAGATGACATGATTTCTCTGAGCAGCGAAGGGTTGTATAGACTACAGAGTCCCGCGAACGGTGATGTCTCCCTTCTTCTCAGCATTCTCACGAAACAGTTCCTCTCCATGGGCCGACTCTCGGCACTTTCCTCCGCTTTTCGCTAACCTGCGGCTGCCGACTCCGGCGATGCTGCTTGAACCCGAACCAGGACATACGCCACCTTAGAGGTGCTGGAAGGCTTTTCACAGCACGCGGGAATTACTCAGGTAGTATACTATCCGGATGCTTGGACACAGCGTTATGCACACTTCCAAATTGTGAGGCGCTCGACAGCACCACGCTATTCACTTAGCCTCTCATCGAAACAGTTGGCTCCCAAGGTGACGTCCCATTCTTTCAACCAGTCATCGGCGGACATCATACTACCTACTGCGGACCAGGTCGAACTCCACGTCCATAGTCAAATCCCCGCTCAAGCGTTACCCATAGTCGGCGACATGTTTTGCCGCCTTCTGCAGCTTCCCTGCGATTCACAGGACGTCTATCGCGTTCGACCTATCATACCCGTCGCGGAGTTCCTCGAGAGGCTGTTGCGCTTTGCTTTGCTGAGAGGAAGCTCGGGGTTCATTGCGTGCGTGTGTGGGCCGCTCCTGGCGGGTGTGTTCGTTCTCGGTCATACGGTAACGAAACACTCAATCTAGGACCTGAGTACACAGGCCACGACTCGGAACTCTTCGCAACTCAGCGCATACACAATCACACAGTTACCCCTCAAGCAAGAATCGCGATCTATGTAGCCTATACGTTAGTATAATATCTCGGTACGTTTCGACAATTCAGAGATTCAACAGCGATTATCCAAATCCCAGGATATGTTCAGCCAGATACCGCCATTCGGGTCCAGGCTGTCATAGGTTTTCATCGCCTGACTAGAATGCTATTTGTTGCGCAGATGGTAATCATAATCGTCACCTTTTGAGGCTGCATATTGCTTGCCGCAGCATAAATCGGAACCTCTAGGGCACTATTCCCCGCAACGGGCGGTCTATGAGCGCCGTAGCCACATGGCATGCAAGTTCTATCATGTATGCTGCGGTAGAGTGAGGTACAGTACATATATGCACGATGCTCCCGTACCGCCTTCATCCCGCAGTGCACCAGCACGACAATATGCGGTCTGCTACCAAGAAAGGGAGTAAACCCCGAACGAAGACGTCGCTCTCTACTGATACACCTAGTCACCCATTCAACTTTCCCACTGCAGATATCACCTTGCGGAGCACAGACAATGTCGACTTCCATATCCACCGCGCCATCCTCTCAGTTGCTTCGGACGTTTTCAGAGACATGCTATCCCTTCCCCCACCTCACGACGACGCAGTGCTCGCGGACGCCGGTGCTTCGCCTTCACCTCCATCTCGTCCCATCATACCTCTCACCGAGAATGGCAAGACACTCGAGAGGCTACTCTGCCTCTGCTATCCGATCAACAAGCAACCATTGAACGAGCTTGAGGGCGTCGTCCCTGTGCTCAAGGCCGCTCTGAAGTACGACATGGAGTGGCCGATAACTCTTCTGACTAAAGATCTCCTCGAAATCGCACCCAAGGCGCCGCTCAAGGTATGGGCGTGTGCCTGCCAATGCGAACTGAAGGACCTCGTCCGCTCGGCGGCCCTGGAGATACTCAGAGAGACTGCAAAAGGCGAGGATACCAAGAATAGCCGCCTGGCTAGTTTCGAGGCGATGCTCCAGTCTGCAGGGCTGAGCGTCTTAGACGGAGTCGTCGCAGGCGACTTCTTCCGCCTCCGAGAGTTCATCCTAGCGGGGGATCGGGAGGCGCCTTTCGTAAGGTTGGCTCCCACTCACCAGCTCCCAACCCACTCGCCAATCGCAGGTGTAGCCTCCACTACCTTCCAGCCCCACGTTCTAGATCCCGACATCGTCATATGTTGCCCAGACGCCACAACCCATCGCGCGCACGCAGCTATCCTCTCTCTCCATTCCCCAGTGTTTGCGAGTATGATCGCCGACTCCAGGGCCGATCAGTCTTGCAAGACTGACGTCCATCCGCCGCCCATCGAGCTGAAAGTCGAGGTGGACTCCGACGCTCTGGTCACTCTACTGGAGTTGTGCTACGCAGACTCTTCGGGTCTACCCACCACTCCCTCGCGCCTGGCCACCCTCCTCGTCGCGGCAGAGAGGTATCAGCTGACCGCGATCCAGAGAATTGTGAAGGATCGCTGGGACGAGGTTGCCAAGGATAGTCCCTTGGACGCTTACTTCGTCGCGATCCAGCATGGTCTGACACCGCAGGCCAGGCTCGCCGCTAGAGACGTGCTAGAGAAGCCTATTGGTGGGGCTTACGCCCGATCCATGGAATCCTCCCCCGCGCTCTCCTACTATCGTCTTCTGTCGTACTACACTGCGTGTAGCGCTGCTGTGAAGGCAAAGGCGCAGGACCCGATGCCTCAGTGGCACAAGGCCATGCGGTCGGCGTACAGTCCTTATAGCTACTCCTCATCACATTCCATCCAAGAAGGAGGCAGCATGGAGCAGTGTCTTCGTGAAATAGCCGAGAGAAGTGAGGAGGGCCCCCGGCGCGTTATTGCGGAGCTAGCCTTCAGCTCGTTGCTGATGCATCTCGATGGCAAAAATGGTGGTTCGATCTGGCCCATGTGTAGTAGAGGATTATGCTCGGTCGTCGTCAAGGCGGTGCTGACACTGAGCTCCGACTTGGGAAACGCGATCGTCGAAGCAATCTCCCAGGTACGTTGCGCAAGATCCATAACATTGTCGACATGATGCCGAATGTCTGAACATAGGTGGAGCTCAAGATTGACTAGCACTTGGTCGTAGATTGCGGAACGCTCGTCACTCATGTCGCTTTAGCACTGTTTCTCTTGCACCGCATTGTACGATACAATGTCTGTTGTCTGATGTCCGGACTGTAGCGGTCTCAATCTCCGGCTCTGATAGTGGAACAATCCCTGACTTGCGTCATGGGTACCGCGGGTACGTGATCGGCCACGTCACCACACAAAGTAGATGATGGTACACGACAAAGGGTGATAGCGATTTACAATGAAATAGGGTATGCACAGTGCCCCTGCCCTCAAGGCAATCATCAGGACGTGCGAACTAAACTAAGGTAACAGGCGGAACAGACGTTCGACCACGCACATTTGTACACGCTCCTGCGCAGTTATAACAAACAGAGGGCTTACTAATATCAGGCGATGCCAGGAGGAGAATCGACACAAGTTACAAGTTGCCCAACGAACCTGATGATGCTTGAAGTGACAGACACGAGAGGGCGAGATGTGGGCGCAAGAATCAGACCAGGGAGACTTGCTAGAGGGCGTCGAAACGAGTGCCTGCGCAACACAGAGGCCGATCTTTATGCGTAGGCCAAGGCGCGATGCACGCGGGTACTGAAATGACTCAGATGTTTTCACTGAGGTGTTTGGCATTATTGGACGGTGAAAACCGAATGAAAAGGACGTGCAATCGCTCGGGACGCGATGACTGTTGGCTGGAGCGAGGCCGTGTATTTTATAGTAGCTGGAAGCCACAAATCATCCGGAGCTTGGACGCGCCTTGGAGAGGGTTTCAGCTGAAGGATACAGAGGAGCGTCGGCAGGAGAGTAGCGATACAAGATAGGAGGTCCAAGGGTGGTATCGAAAGCAACGTCGAAGGAATGACCAAGCGGTTCTCTCGGCGCCGATGCTAAAGCCTGTAGCTAAAGGCTTTTATCGAGAGGGGCTCGTCTTCCGGGCCGATTCACCGGCCTAGCGCTCATACGTTCAGCTTCCTCGTTGAGGCCTTGAGGCCTCTACTGGCACCACTAGTACCTTCAGTGCCGCGGTAGGTGCTTTCTGAATCAATCCTCTCGCATCCCATTGCTCGTACTCCCAACGGGGCCTCACATTCTCACACACCACGCGACAATGTCAGAACACAAACCAGACATTGCTCACCCTCGAATTGCGTCCTATCCGTTCAACGAGCCCTCGGCCGATATCACACTACGCACCCGAGATGGAGTCGACTTCTACGTCTACCGTCCCATCCTCTCCCTAGCATCCCCCGTATTTGCAGATATGTTTTCCCTTCCGCAACCTGCAACCCCCAAACAGGACCAAATCATCGCTCGGCCAGTCATAGACATCACAGAGGATAGCAAGACCATCGAGAGGCTGCTCCGCCTCTGCTACCCTATTGAGAAGGAGAAGCTGGACGAATTTGAGGATATCGTCGCAGTTTTGCAGGCAGCCATGAAGTACGACATGAAATGGCCGATATCCTCGCTAACTGTCGACCTCCTTGCTATCGTCCCTCACAGTCCACTGAAGGTATGGGCGATCGCTTGTCGATGCAGAGCGGAAGATCTAGCCCACAAGGCAGCAGCCAGGATGCTGGAGATGGCAAATGCGCCCCCAGAGCGTACAGCAAAAGATTCCGACGTAGCAGATTTAGACGAACAAGTGTACGCTCTGCGGGGCCCGTCGATACGTGCCTTGACGCTTCTGAGACACAAGCTGGAGGAGTACGGCCTGGATATGCTAGATGGCATTTCTGCAGGGGATTACTTCCGCTTGAGGGAGTATCTTCGCGTAGGAGAAGGGAAGATCACCTCGCTTCTCTCCCCGACTACCGTCGACGTCAATCATTCCGGCGCCGAATGGACCCAGGACGCAATTCTACCTACAGTGATTCCTTCTTTTCCGCCTCCAGACGTAGTACTCCAGTGCTCTGATGGCAGACAGTTCCCCGCTCACTCCCTGCCCTTCATACTACATTCCCCAGTCCTCAGCACGCGCATTCACGCGGCATGCGCCACTGCATCCCAGCCTATCGCTACTACGTCGGACGATCGGCCGTTACCGGTGCTCGAGATAGAGGTTGAGTTCTCGACACTCTCGACACTGATAGTCATGTTATACGCCAAAGACGTCCGCAGGAACCTCCCCCGCGACCTACCTCGCCTTTCCGCTGTGTTAGACACCGCTAGGAAATTAGAGATAGCAGGGTTATAGGAAGCGGTCAAAGAACGATGGATCGAAACGGCGAAGTCTACTCCACTAGAAGCCTACTTGATCACCCTCCGGTACGGGCTAACTGATTGCGCACGACTTGCTGCCCGAGAGGTCCTCGAACACTCCATCGCTGGGGTCCACGTTCACAGTATGGAGTCTCCGTCGTCCACAGCGCTTGCGTATCATCGTCTTTTGCAATACTATGACGCCTGTGCAGCGGCTGTCGATGCGTGCATCAAAGCCGCAGCAGCGCAGTTGAACACCGACATAGCCAAGCTCAATCAGACCTGGAGCCCAAGCGCATTATTAATCGAGTATCACCCGATTCATTATTTTTGAAACCCCCAGCTCAGGCAATCGAGAGGCGTGTCAGGCCGTCTGTGCAGGGCAGATTACGCTTCGACTTCACATTGCCCACCTTGTTGCAACAATCGTTGTCAGCATGGCCGAGCTGTAGCGCACCACTGTGTCACAAATACACGGATGTTCTGTTCAAGCTGAGTACCACCTTACCCCAAACCATTGCTGACACAATTGCACGGGTGAGTCCAATCATTTGGTCTTTCCATTCGGACTCAGCACTGATGGCGTTACTTACAGGTGCAGTTGAAGATCGGGTGACTTTACACGACGTGGGCTTGCTGTTCTCCGGAAGGTAATGCACTGGCACTCATGATCCTCTATAACCTCGTCTAACAAACCGGAACCACCAGAACCGAGTCATTTCGTTGATGGAGGAACACGAGAATCTGAATATACAAATAGTAGCTCACTATGTTGATGCCGCCGTGCAGCGGCTGCTTTCATTTTCCAAGTACAATGGTGTGCTTTCACGTGCTAGCATGCGGACAACGTCGCCGAGATCAACTTAGCGAACAAGCTGCAGAACCTCGGAATGGATCATGACCACGGCAGCCATAGTACAGACGCGAGTCACTAGTATGTTAGTAACAGACAATCTGTTGAACGGGATGCCCATAATTGCATCGCAGATATTATGTCGTGGTCATCGAATCGTGCATGCCTCGTGAATGTGGGTGCATGCTCACACGTTCCGACCATGTGTGCTGCGGTAGGCCTATAAGCAATCGTCTCTGGGCGACGACGTACGGCCCATAGACATCCTTTGGTTGTCTCCCACATACAGAAACGTTACAATGAGCGACAACAACATAGCGACATCGCCTGCACTGGGGCACCCGTTCGACCTTCCATCCACCGATATTACCTTGCGGAGCGCAGACAATGTCGACTTCCCCGTCCATAAGCTCATCCTCTCTGTCTCCTCAGCTTTCTTCCGAGACATGCTCTCGCTACCCCCACCTCGCGACGATGCCACGAGTACCAAATCGTTGTCTCCGCCTAGTCCTGTGGTACCTCTCGCTGAGGATGGCAAGACGATCGAGAGGCTACTCCGCCTCTGCTACCCCATCGACAAGCAGCCCTTAGATGACTTGAAGGACATCGCCCCCGTGCTCAAGGCCGCGCTCAAGTACGACATGGAGTGGCCAATCAGACTCCTCACGAGAGATCTCCTCGCCATCATGCCAAAGGCGCCGTTGAAGGTATGGGCGTACGCCTGCCAATGCGGGCTGGAGGACCTCGCCCGTTCGGCGGCTCGCGAGGTGCTCGGCGAGAGCACGAAGGGCGACAACACAAAGAGCAGTCGGCTCGTGAACTTCGGGGCGATGCTGGGGTCGATAGGGCTGGATGTCCTGGAGGGAGTCACGGCAAGCGACTACTTCCGCCTGCGGGAGTACATTCTGTCCGGGGAATGTGAGGCGCGTTTCGTAGCGTTGAGTCCAAATCTCTCGGACGTAGTCGACACCTCCACCGGGATTAGCAGAGCCCCAGAACACCACGCTGCCAGCTTCTACCCCCCTGTCCCACGTCCAGACCTCACACTCCGCTGCCTGGACACTACGACCCACCACGCTCACGAAGCCATCCTTTCTCTCCATTCCTCGGTCTTCGGTAACTTGATCGACGCCGAGCGGGCTAGGCAAACTCGCGAATCTGGCGCCGTCTACCCACGTGTCGAGCTCGAAGTTGAGGTGAATTCCGACACCCTGACGGTTCTCTTGGAGTTGTGCTACGGGAACACGTCCGGCCTTCCCTCCTCCTCCTCCTCCTCCAGCCTTGACGCTCTCCTCGTCGCCGTGGAAAGGTACAACATGGTCCTGATCCATAAGATCGTGAAGGATCGCTGGGACGAGATCGCCAGAACCAATGCCCTGGACGCTTACTTCGTCGCCCTGCGACATGGACTGACGTCGCAAGCCAGAGTCGGCGCGAGAGGGGTGTTAGACAGCCCTATCAACGGAGCTTACGCCCGGTCCATGGAATCCACCTCTGCGCTCTCATACCACCGTCTCCTGGATTACTACGCGTGCGGCGCTGCCGTGGAGGCAAAGATGCAGGACACGATTCCTCAGTGGAATGTCGATATCCAGGAGGCAACACGGTTAAGCTATGAACGCTCCTCCTCGAACGACGGGATACGAGAAGGCGGCATCATGGAGCGGCATCTTTGTGACATCGCCGGGAGAAGTGAGGAGGGGCCCGGACGAGTGATCGCGAAGCTAGCCTTTAGCTCATTGCTGATGCTGTCCGATTACCATTAATCAATATGGCCCTATCGTAGCAGACAGTCCTGCCTGGCCGTCGTCAAGGCGGTATCGGCACTGAGCTCCAATTTGGAAGATGCAATCGCCGAAGCAATCTCTCAGGTATGCTGCGTAACATCCATAACATCGTCGACATGATGCTGAAGGTCTGAACATAGGTGGAGCTCAAGATCGACTAGCACTCGGTCGTAGATTGCGGAAGGCTCGTCACCCGTGTCGCTTTAGCACTGTCTCTCTTGCACCGAATTGTACGATACAATGTCTGTTGTCTGATGCCCGGACCGTAGCGGTCTCAATCTCCGGCTCTGATAGTGGAACAATCTCTGACTTGCGTCATGGATGCGGGTACGTGAAACGCCTCGGAGCACGCTCTTAGCAACACTCCGAACGACGGAGGATGGCATACAGCTCACCCTCTTGAGCGCGTCCAAAGGTCCGGCGAGGGATCGCCACACGCATCAATCCGCTATACAAGGCACTCATCGAGACAGACCTTCTCGAGAACGTCGATACAGACGGGGTTTTTGCTGTCACTGATTGGGAATAGTCCATGCCTTCTGTCGAGCTCATGTCACTTGGAGTCCTAGGACAGCCAACAGCGTCCGCGAGTGCGCGAGCTACGTGCTCACAGGCTGCAGTATGAGAGCGCGTGCTCGCCGATCCGTTCGCCACCAGCCGCGATGCATGGTTTGCGGCTTGCGCCCATTATTATGACTACCATTCCATCTAGTGCCACAACGCCGACGTCATTGTGAGCAGTGAGGGTATGCGAAACGGGAGATAGAGTTTCTCGAGGAGGCTGGCCAACGCACAGAGCACCTGCTGACGAGGCACGCGATCCTGTGACGTGCGATGTGGCAAAGTCAAGACAGCAGGCGGAAGCTCGGCACAGACATTCGACAGCCCGCGGGCTGTCGGGGCTTTGCCAAGTCTCCACTCGGTCTAGGAAGGCACCACGCACCGCAATACAGTCTCTGCTGCACGTGTGCCCCGGGCTAGACGGAACGATGGCCGTGACTCTGAGTGGAGGTAAGGAAGGATGATAAGGGGAAAGTCTCGCCACCAGAACTCAAGCTTATCTATGTAGAGCTTGGAGTGACGGTCACGGGAGGACGAGATGTGGATGCACGCAAGCACCAAACCGCAGGTAGAGCTTCGAACTGGGTGCCTGTTCGACACAGAGGCCGATCTCGATTGTTTGGGCATGGCGTGATGCGCACGGTTCCATTTCGTAAAAGGACTCGGATCCGGTAGAGACTGGGGTGCGTGGCTGCATCTGGGGGTACACATGCGGATAAGGAGGACGTACAAGCCCTTGAGACGCGATTGCTGCCTGCTCCAGCGAGGTCTTGAGCTATACGGCATTGGGAAGCGGCGGGAGACAGGCGGCGAGCCCCGTGGTCGCGGAGCATGGAGGGGTGCTATTGTTTTGCGCTCAGCTGAATGAAGCAACAAAGCCTTGGAGAGAGACAGGGGCGAGTGCGACGATATGCTCGGGTTTCCAAGACGCGGCGGAGAGAAACAAGCCATGTCGGACGGCGTCGATGGACGACCGGCGCAAGGTCGTGCGATGTGCTTTCGCCCCTCCGGCGCCTCCGGAGGCGGACCAATCAGGATTTGCGAAATGGGCGCCAAGCATGGATTGCGGGAGGGATTCTGGCTGGCGGTGGTACGACCATGCACTCATCAAAATAATACCCGATCCTCGTCTCATCCTCGTTTTTTCCTATATAACACCGTATTTGTCTCCGCCTCCCAACAATCCGTGCTTGCCTCCTCCCCATCCCCCCCGGTCGCCCGCCAAAACTAGACAGACTCCTTGCTCTCTTCTCCGTCCACGCTAGCAAACATGACCGTCCCCCTCAACGCCTCCACCAGCCAGGACGTCGACGCGCCCCCGCGCCCCAAGGATGTCGGTATCCTTGCGGTGGAGATGTACTTCCCACAGCGCGTACGTGCCTCGCGAAGTTGGTAGTTGCCCATAGTTCTGACGATCTCACAGTGCATCTCGGAGGAGGAACTTGAAGTCTTCGACAACGTTCCCAAGGGCAAGTACACCATCGGCCTCGGACAGAAGTTCATGGCTTGCTGTGACGACCGCGAGGACATCAACACCTTTGCCCTCACCGGTATGTTTTCGTCCTGCCTCCCATGTGTCCTCCTGCGGCTCCTTACATACCCTCCCTTAAGCCGTAATATCCCTCATTGAAAAGTACAACATCGACCCCAAGTCGATTGGCCGAATTGATGTCGGCACTGAGACGATCATCGACAAGTCAAAATCTACGAAGACCCACCTCATGGACTTCTTCGCCGAGGCCGGCAACACGGATATTGAGGGCGTCGACTCCAAGAATGCCTGCTACGGCTCTACGGCCGCCCTGTTTAACGCTGTCAACTGGGTCGAGTCTTCTTCCTGGGACGGACGTAACGCGATTGTCGTCGGAGGCGACATCGCTATTTATGCGGAGGGTAGCGGACGTCCCACTGGCGGTGCAGGCGCTGTGGCGATCCTCATCGGCCCCAACGCCCCCCTCGTGCTCGAGCGTGAGTACCTGAAAACCCTGTCCTATCTTTGCTCCGCTGTTCTATCAATCGTTCACCTCCCCGCTATTCCCGTTCAATGCCACTTCCATGCTTCTTTGAAAGTTCCCATCATGCTCCGCTTCCCCGGGCAACCCTCGCCTTAACAAGCATGAGATCGCTGTATCCTTGATCCCGTCTAGCATCTCGTGGCGCGAACTGACTAACGCCCGTGTCCGTCCCACAGCGATCCATGGCACGCACATGGCCAATACCTACGACTTCTACAAGCCCAAGCTCGACTCAGAGTACCCCGAGGTCGACGGCCCGCTCTCCATCACCGCCTACATCTCTGCCATCGACGCCTCGTACGCCGCTTACCGTGCCAAGCACGCCAAGGCGAAGAAGGCCGCGGGTCTCTCCGGCCCCGCCTTCTCGCTCGCCGACGTCGACTACCCCGTCTTCCACTCGCCCTACGGCAAGATGGTGCAGAAGGCGCACGCCCGGCTCGTGTACAACGACTTCCTCGCGAACCCGGACAGCCCGAAGTACGCGCAGGTGCCCGACCGCGAGGCGTGGCTCGCGCAGCCGTACAAGGCGTCGCTGACGGACAAGAACCTAGAGAAGACGTTCATCGCCGTCGCGAAGGCCGACTTCGAGGGCACTGTCGAGAAGGGCATGCGCTGCGCGCGCCGCTGCGGGAACATGTACACCGCGTCGCTCTACGGGGGCCTCGCGTCGCTGTTGTCGAGCGTGGAGCCCGCGGAGCTGAAGGGGAAGCGCATCTCGATGTTCGCGTTTGGCTCGGGCCTTGCTTCGTCGTTCTTCACGATCAAGGTCAAGGGCGACTCGACCGAGATCAAGGAGAAGCTCGACCTCGTCAGGAGGCTCGAGAGCATGAAGGTTGTACCGTGCCAGGAGTACGTCGACGCGCTCACTGTAAGTCTTTCAACGCACAAACGCGTGTCACGAGCCAGTTGCTGATGGTATCTTTTCTAGCTCCGGGAGAAGAACCACAATGCGGGTTCGTACGTCCCCGAGGGCTCGCTCGACAACATCTGGCCAGGCGGGTACTACCTCGAGAGCATCGACAGCAAGTACCGCCGCAAGTACGTTCGCGCGCCCAAGGCATGAGCGACGTCTTCGGCATGTTCTTTGTCCCCATTCGCATCGATACACCCATCTTTCCGACACACATACACCTAATCGTACACGCATACCGCACTACTGTTACCCCATTTACCTGCTTTCTGTTTTATGCCGCAGCGACGAGTGCGTCGCTCGCTGTCAGGGAGTCATCCGCGGGATCGAATACTGCTTTTCGCACCCCTTCGAGGAGGGCCGTCTTAGATTTCAACGATACTTGAAGACGCATGTATGATTATTGAGCAATGGAACCACTAGATGAGACTGTACCAGGACGACCCAATGAAGGTCTACAGACATGCTCATCGTCCTCGAACGACCTGGTTTGCTACAGTTACAGGAAAACGGCTTGGCTCTCGAGCGATCTATGTAGCAACTTCGATGTCGAATTTGACCTGCCTCTTTTAGTCAGCGCAGGTTCGTTGTCGCGATCAAGCGTAGTTGGGCTTACCTTGCCGATGGCATCTTCAATCCGTTGGGGCAAGGTCTCTGTCAAGCGTGTGAGGAGGTTGTAAGTAACAGGGCATAATTTGTGATATTGGATATCTGTGGCTACGTCGGCCAAATTTCGCAGGCCTGCTACGTGATCCGCCTTTGGTGCAACCGTACGTTCTTTCAATGCCTCCTGTTGCTCATTCAAGCGGCGCGATACGGATTTGTACAGGCAGTTCGCTTCCCTGGGTGAAGATGTCTTTCCCCCGAACCCGCTAGCTATCGCGAACTCTGTTTTCGCGTCATCTAGCTGCTCCGAAACCGCATGGGAGCATGCATCGTGGTATTCAAGGAGGACATGGTATGTCCACGCCGGTAACTCGTCCATGATACGCAAGACCGATATTTGCTGCATTGAAACCCCGGAGATCGCCAGCGTCCCCGAGGCGGCGACTGCGGCTGCGGCTGCGAGCCCTCTTCTGTGTGCCAAGAAGTACGACGATAGTGGATCGCAATCCACCAAAGACTTCCAGCGGGCAAATGCGAGATCGATGACGTGGCGGACTTTGTACACCGTCGCTGCTGCCAGCAAGTCGATACAGCGATTGATGCCGTAGGGAAGGAGCTCGGTCTCGGGGTGATAGCAGATGGCTAGCAAGGCGCATACTGCGATGGATCTCCCCCTTAGCTCCAGCACCGGTATTGCGCGGGGGGAGTCTGAGGGCTGATTGTTTTCTCGGGCAGCGTTGATCGCCGCAATCCGACGTTTCAAGACTGGCGAGAATACAGACAAGATGCTCTGGTGCGCCCTGAGTTCCATGCCGTCGGGGCAACGACAGATGACATCTGACGAAGGCACCTCCTCGGCTGGGTACGCGATAGACGGAAATGCATCGTCTGCGAAAGGCAGACATTCGGAGGCCTCTCGCTTGGAAGACTCGTCCAATGCTGCCTGGCTCCTCGGAGTCCCATTCGCACGTGGAGCGTGCACGAATAGAACTGTATCCGCAACTCCTTTCGCTGAGTGGAGGAAGTTCAGGAGGCGGTAGTAGTGGCTTGCCGAGATGCCCTGCATCTCATCCAGGATAGACGTGATGCGTGGTATATATAGAAGCTTCTTCCGCTCGTCCTCCTGGACGGACTCCACATAAGCCTCTGCGCCACGACGCGCGACGCTCTCTAGCCCAAGGCGGCACCCGGTAGCCCATACCCCCAGCGGATAGCTCAAAGCGCAATCCAGGGCGGCTTTCGTGAGGATCTCCGTCGGCCATTCCATGTCATATTTGATCGCAGCCTCGAGCACGGGCTGGATTTCCCTTGGCGTCCGCAGCTCAGCTTTCTTCACGGGGTAACAGAGTCGCAACAGCGGGTCCAGAGAGCGACTGTCCTCCGCGACTTCGATAATAGGACGTGTGGGCGGAGTGCCCGTCGCTTCCTCTCTGTGGGGCTGTTGGGGCTGTGGGAGCTTGAACATCGTCGCAAAGACTGGGGAGACGATGGAGAGGACGGCAGTGTGTACGTGGAAGTCGACGGCATTGGACGTACGAAGAGTAATGTCTGCGGAAGGCTGGTTGAAAGGATGAGGCGCATCAGAGGGGGAGGTGTATTTATGAGGCATCGTCGATGTGAGCGAGGGTATGAGCGAGTCGTGGAAGCAGAGGGATCTGGATCCACTGGGGCCACCAAGTGACTTGGGTACCTAGTATTCAGTGGTGGACGTCGACAGCACTTATAATGCCCTGCGATAACATTACCGCAGCATCGCACGTTAGGGATAACTGGCAATGAAGTCGTGCAGTGAGAAGGAAAACTCGGTTCTGAGTAGAGGCTTGGGAAAGGAAGCTGGCCTACGTTTCCTATCGACAATTTGAATGGGCATCTGAGTGGTGGGGGTATTGGTTTTGACGTACTGACTCGGTAGCGACCAGGAGAAGAACATAGCCTCCTTCAGCTGCAGCTGCAGCTGCAGGACGCAATTTACGACCGCAGCATTGCATGACACCGTCCACTCAGGTGTCGGCGTCGAGCGCGAGCTCTGCGAGATGTCATAGACATGTTGAGCTATACGTCAATTCACCATAATGCTAGGAGCTAGGAGCATGCCACTTTTCCAGGTGGGATGGAGGTAGGGTGAGATGTTCAATTGCGCAATGTGGTCACGGATAAGATATGGGCGCCTATATCACATTCAGACCGAACCATGGTCTGGCACCACTTGCAAAATGGTTCGCCTCTCAGGCTCTACCCCTGCAACCACTCCTCCTCGTTTTATTGCTACATATGTCACTGTTTTTGCGTTTTCGACCCGTGTACCTCAATTATGAGGGCTTTTAGGCGAGTCCTCGCTCTAAGGAGCCTCCTGCAGGCTTTATGATCTGTTCCTCGGGCAACGGCACCCAAGTTCCGATTACGCAACCACCGAGTTCGATAAGACGGATCCGGAGCTGGAAATCTCGTATTTTGATGCGCTTCATCGACCGCCCTCGTACCACGAGGGTGGAGGCAGGGTAAGTGGCCGTTTGACGTCCGATCTCCCGGTATCAGGCCACGACAGTTAGGAGCGGTCGACGTTCGTACACCCACTCCTTCGCCAATGCCTCCCTTGAGCCTATTGTTTGATGTTCATACAGAACCCTGCCGTCTCTCATAACTCTAAGTTGACGAAAGATAACAAACCTGGCTTCGGTAGCGTCCGATAGGATAGATCCCGCGTCCTTGCGGGTGCCTCTCTCGGCTACCAGGCACATCCATCCTTCGTCACTTCAAATGTACTACTCGGTCTGCATTATCGCTGATCGAATCTGTACGTCGCCAACGCCTTGCTCATTGTGGCAGAGAAGTTCGATATGCAACATACACATCCATGCCTGTCACTAACTTCTCCATAAGCAGTTGACTTCACGCCGCCGCGATGGGGCCTCCTTGCTGCTCAAGTACTATGTTTCTGTAGCAATGCAACCACTGAATGGGGTACAACGACTGAGCAATGCCGGGAGGATCAGATATGCGCACGAAGGGGCCCGGATCAGGTTCGAGCACTCATGCCTTCATTGGGCTCGGATAGTTCTGATGGCCATTACGCAGGATTCGTACATCATCAAAGGTTGAGCTTGACCTGCGTCAGTTTGATGAGCGTAGTGACTACATGAGGATCGTGGGAGCTGACCTTGTCAATGGTAGCCTCGATCTCCCCTGAAAGGGTGTCCATCAGGCGTTGTAAATCACTAGTTGTCGACCCGTTCCAACCCACAGCTGCTTCCAGCTTCCGCAGGCTTCCTACGTGGTCTGCCTTCGGTGCGATGGTATGCTCCTTCAATCCATCCCGCAGCTGAGGCAACCAGATCCTGACTGCTATTCTCAGCTCGTCAACTCCGCTTGCATCGTGGGGCCGACACCGTCCGTCGGAGGTCGTCCACATAACAGGTGTTTTTGCTTGGGTGTCAGCTTTCCAGGCTCTGGCCCCGCGATCGAGGGCCTTGATAACTGCTCGGGAGCACGCATCGTGATATACGAGGATCTGATGGTATGTCCTGGCGGGGACTTCTTCCATGATTTCGACGTACTGGGCCGGGTGCACCAATGCCGCTCCCGGGTGTTCCAGTAATTTGACAGCAGCGATTGTCATCGCGGCCGGGATACCCATCTGGTGCGCGAGGAAGTAGCTGTACAGCTCGTGTCGAGGCGCCAGAGAGCTCCAGCAGGCTAAGGCAAGGTCGACGACGTGCTGGATTTTGTACTTCGTCGCCGCCGCCAGCAGGTCGATGCAGTCGCGACGAGCTGTTGGGAGCTGAGTTTGTTGGTGATAGCATATGCCTAACAGAGTAGCTATAGTGAAAGAGGAGTATTCTAACTCGAGCACCGGTGTCACGTCCCAGGGATGTGGTTCCGGTGGTCCAGGGTGGTAGCCCACTTTAGTAGTGTTGATGGCCACAATACGCGCGCTCCATACAGGCGACCACAGAGACAGGATGCTCTGGTGCGCCTTGAACTCCATGCCATCTACGCAACGGCATATGATGTCCGGTGCAGGTACGCCCTCAGCAGGGTACGTTATAGAGGCAAAGCCGTCGTTCGCGAACGGGAGGAACCTGAACGCTCTCCGTATCGAAGCCTGGTCTCTTTCGGACTGGCTCAGCGTCGTTTGAAGTGCGAACGGGACGTCAAGTAACGCAATTCTGGCTGCGTTCCCATCTGCCCTCCCAATGCTATCCATCTCTCCCACCCGGTCACTCATTTGTCCTTCCATCTCCTCGACGCCCTCTGCGGAGCGAAGGAATTGGAGGAGACGATGATATTGCCCCGCGGAGATCCCTTCCATCTTGCCCAGAATCCGCGTGATGCGGGGTACGAGGATGAGCTGCTTCCGCTCGCCCACCGGGATGGACCCTGCGAAGACTTCTGCTCCGCGGCGCGCGACTCGCTCCAGCCCAAGACGGCATCCGATGGCCCATACCTGCAGCGGGCCATGCGGAGCGCACGCCATGAGCGTTCTCGTGAGAGCTTCGGTCGGCCACTCCATATCGTACTTGATCGCTGCCTCGAGCACCGGCCGGATGTCCTCCGGCTGCCGCAGTATAGCTTTCTTTACGGGGTAGCAGAGCCGCAGCAATGGTTCGAGCGCCTTGCTGTCTTCGGAGACATCGATGACAGGGCGAACAAGAGTCGCGACGCCCGGAGCTTCGGGGGAGGGCTGCGGGAGCTCGAACATGGTCGCAAAGACGGGGGAGGCTTGGGAGAGAATCTGGGTATGGACGTGGAAGGAGATGGAGTCGGAGGTGCGAAGGATGACGTCCGCAGAGCGCTGATTGAAGGGATGGGGAGCATCGGAGGCCGGCATAAGAGGTTGTCCTTGCATTGTGTGTGTCTCAGGGATGTGCGATGTGATTAGCACAGTAGAGGGAGAAAGCCCGGGGACGGTAAGCAGGAGGCTTGGCTTTATGAAAGCAAGCTGCCGCAGCGGAGGCTTCTGACTGCAGGCATAACTTTGCAGCGGATTCGCGACGTCAAAGCGCTCATATAATGCGGTTGTCATTGTCATCAAACAAGTAGCGGGATTGAGACATACGTGGAGGCGCATCATCTTCTCTTGCTGTTCATCAGAAGCCTGCTTCCCTGTCCACGCTCTGTGCATCAGTCCAGGTCTGGCGGGACTCCCTGATTGTTGAAATAGGTCAATGGGTAACTCACCGTACGCTCTTGTTGTTGTACTGCCATCAAGCCGGCCGCGTGAAGAGGATTAGACCAGCAAAAATATTCTCCTCACTGTCACAGCATCAAAGATGTCGCCGCCAGTGCGAACGTCAACTAATAGAACGTGGAACGGAGGGACGTGCAGTCGGCGCCTCTGCATTGCCTAGGTTGACTCCGCACTTCGCCAATCCTCCCAGCACTTCTCCTCGACTCGCCGCTCTCGCCGTACTGGTCTATACATCCCGATGTCATGACGTCCCAAGCAGACCATCCATTCAACGAGCCTTCTGCTGACATAATCATCTGTTCCTCCGACAATGTCACCTTCAGGCTGCACACAGTCATCCTTTCCCTCGCCTCCGATTTCTTCAAAGATATGTTCAGTCTTCCGCAACCGGGCGTTCCCTCTACTTCCGAACCTGGAGAACTCCCTGTCCTCAATGTGACCGAGTCCAGTGACGTGCTGGAGAGGCTATTCCGGCTATGCTATCCGGTGGATCATCCAACACTAGGCACGATTCATGAGGTACGCTCTACTCTCGAAGCGGCGTTGAAGTACCAGATGGCAGTGGCGATCAAAATTGCAAAGAGGAGGCTCCGGTCTCTCGCTTCTGCCGACCCGCTGAGTGTGTACGCCGTCGCGTGCTGTTTCGATCTCGAGGCGGAGGCAGCAGCAGCAGCAAAGGAGGTGCTGAAGCAGAAGCTTCAGACCAGATACGTCCCAGAGCTGGAGGATTTATCAATCGGCGCGTATCATCGGCTTCTCTCGTATTGCGAGCGTGGAGGCAGGGTAAATGACCGATTCAGGTTCACTTTCCATACCTCGGGCGGCGGTCGAAATCGGCAGACACCTATGTCCACACCCTCTTTGACCGAGGCTTCCCTTGAGCCTGTCGCCCCCAATGTCCTTCCAGAGACCCGGACCGCCCCCCATCCGTTCGATTCTACTGAAGCGGAGGTGACTTTGGTCGCGTCCGATGGCATGGAATTCCACGTCTTCAAACATATCCTTCGGCTGTCGTCTCCGGTCCTTACCTCTAAGGTCTCAGACATCCATCCTCCTTCGCCCTTGCGAGTGCCTTTGTCAGAGCCAAGTCGCATCCTATCCCTGCTTCTCCAACTATGCTACCCAGTACCCGAGCCTCGTTTATCGGATTTGCACGACATCAGTGCCGCGCTCATCGCAGCAGAGAAATACGAGATGCAGCGCGCTTGTCATGTTCTCCGTGCTGCTCTTACCGCCAAAAAGGACGATGTCTCTGAGGACCCTGTGCTCCTATACGCCGCCGCCTGTCGTTCTGGTATGCGCGAGCTTGCGACGGCAGCCGCCAAACGTGCCCTTCGCTCCGACATCTTGAAGACACCCGCCTCTGAGCTGGACTCGATCGGCGTTACCGGCGGTTGCCTCCATCGCCTCATCGACCATCGCGATCGCTGCCGCGCTGCTGTTGGATCTCTATTCGTCAACTTTTCGATCGATTGGATCAGCTCGGATGTGTATCTTCAGCTGCAGGACTCCGTTCGGTGTGGCTACGCCGGCGAAAACCCTTGCTGGTTCGAGCCGTACCTGTTGCGGCTCTCCGGACAGCCCTGGCCTAGCGCCGAGTTCGCGACCAACGAGGACCTCCTGCAGACCATATTGGAGACTACCCGCGACCCTATTAGTAGCTACCCCTGTAGCTATTGCGCGAGTGTTCAAGGGACATTCTTGTTACTCAAACTGAGTAAGTGCGCTGCTGAGGCTATAAGTGTAGCGGAGAAAAAGGTGACTTTTGTTTGGCTCCCATCGTATCGGCCACGAAGCTCACTTCGCACCAGGAACCGTTGAAGTGGCTATCTCCTGCGCAGTACTCTGAACGTGCTTTCACTCCGGCTACCCCTTCGCGCTCTGCTTGAAAGAGTCAGATTTGAGAGACTTATACGCTCAGGGTGGCGACAACGTCGGGACCGTTCTCGGTCACCCGATTCCTAAACGAGCGCTCAACTCCCGGCCCGCATAGTCGCTTATTCAAATTACCCGCAAGCAATTCCTACTCACGTGCATCGAATCTTTCGTTGCGTCCAGTAACTCTTGCCGCAGCCTCCACCTCTTTCCCCAGTACTTCCTGCCAGCATAGGATCGCCTCTGCCATCGACATGGGCAAGGATTCAGGTGACTCGACTCGAGTGGCATCGTCGCCATTCGACGGATCGACTGGAGATGTCATATTGCGAAGTTCCGATGGCGTCGACTTCCATTGTTTCAGCCAGATCCTTGTCGCAGCATCCTCAGTGTCCGAAGGCATTGTCGCCGTCGGCACCCCCTTCCCCGATCCCTCGAGCTCTGCTCATAACCGGCCCATCATCCCGATGAGCGAAGACAGCAAGACACTCGACTTCCTCTTGCGGTTCATCTATCTAATCCCCAAGCCGGGGCAGTCGCGTTCTCTCGAAGAGGCTGCGGTTTTCCTCGAAGCATCGCTGAAGTACATGATGGAGTACCCCGCATCGATCCTAACGCAAGACCTACTCGCGTTCGCACCGGGTCGCTCCATGCAAGTTTGGGCGATTGGCTGCCGGCTCATGCTGGAGGAGGTCGCGCGAGCAGGCGCGGAACGCATGCTGCACTACAGAGACCTTGGGAGCTACACGCACTTACATCAGTTCGTGCCCATCACAGAGTTCATACGCCACGCGGACGCTCGCGGGGTCAGCGCCGCGGACTACTGCCGCCTCTCAATATACCACAGCCAGCGCGGCGAGGTCGAACCAGGTTTTACGTTCACTCGTCCCCTCCCTCGCCAGACGCAAGAGCGACAGCTGTCTGGTCCGACTGGTGGCGACGCCGGTATTCCTTGGGCTTTCTTCACTTCGGTCGTCCTTCCGGACATCACGTGCAGCGCTTCCGACGGGAGGACGTTCCCAGCACACAAGGGCTTGCTGTGCATGGACTCTTGGTCCTGAGAGACAGGATCATGGACGAGATGATTGTTGGAGCATCTAGGAACGCTCCCCAGCAGTCTGTTTCCACCCTCAACTTCGCGGAGCAGAGCCCGATCTTGGCTCATCTCCTGCGTCTGTGTTATCTCGGCGACGCTCCGCTCCCCCAAGACCATCACCTGTTCCTCGCTGTGCTCAAGGCAGCAGAGAAGTATGATATGACACGCATCGTTGATCTTCTCGTTGCGAAGTGGGAGTCTGTTTCCGCTGTTCACCCTGCCTCCTTGTATTTCGCTGCTCTCCCCTACGGATTTCCTGAGCTTGCGAGGATTGCCGCCCGCCGCGTTCCCCGAAGTTCACACAAGCTATACGTCCCCGAGATGGAGCTTGCACCTGCGATCCAATGGCAGCTGCTAAGCGACTACTGGGAAGGGGCTGCCACTGCTGTCGATCGCGTTCACCACGCAACCTCCAAGGTCTGGCGCAGTGAGGCAGCGTTGGCTCCACTCGAGTCTCAGAGTCCCCAACCGCAGAAGGAAAAACAGCGCCAGAAGTCATCTACATCGCCCCTGCATCCGCGCGGGCTGCCCTGCCACGTTGGCTGTGAGACCCGTGGTCCGGAGTGGGTTCAGCAACGCCGAGATGATGTCGTTGCGGAGCTACGCCAGCGGCCATCGGCGCAGGATATGCCCTCGGCAGAGGAGCTCTTCCAGAGGTCTGTCGCGCCGACACTGTCGGAGAAGCCGTGGTGCCCCTGCTGTTTCAACATTGCGCAGGATCTTGTGAGGATGGGGACCACATTCCGACAGGGAATGAGATTGGCGCTGGACGAGGTGAGCCCTTCGCAAGGATGGATGCAGTACGGGATCTGACAGGCTGATGAGTCGGGGTTCTAGGTTCCTTTGGTCGCTTAATTTCAAGCCTTGGTTTGAGCTTCGTTTACTTCATCGCCGCTGGTGGTCATTGACTCGCCTCCCGTGTGAGACCGTGCTGTAGAACTTCCGATGTGATGGCCCCACGTAGCGTCTTAAGTCGTTGGACACGCTCGGTGACGCCACCTTGGAATGATGTCTGTGATTTTCGTGGGATGCGAGAAGTTCTGTTTGCAATACTACGGATACCATTGGCAGGATGAATGGACTTGGTGTCATCATGTAGACTATGTAGTGACATTATGTGGGACACCTCGTGGCTTCGAGGCTGGGCTCGTCTTACAGCATTGCTTTGTCAAGGAGACAAGCTATTCTAGCTCAGCCGCCGCCGCGCCACTGGCATGGTAGCCCATCTCTCGCCCTAGTTCATCGCACCTCTCAAAGCTAAATTAATCTTGGACAAATCTCCTGGCTGTTGCTATCAAACTACCAGCCTGGTGCGGTGCTCATTAGAGTTTTGAGCGGACAAAGTATATTGCTGGTGATACTCCGAATCTGTGGCCTTACAGCGTTACGAGGGTGTCATCCCACAACGATCTGGTAGGTGATTTGTAGGCCCTACGCACGCTACCAAAATCTATTGCTATTCGTCGGGAAGCTATTGGCTAGACGCATCATCACAGCAGTAGAGGTCAACGTTGAGAACTGTGGTGCAGCGTGAGCCGCCCCAATCAGCCGAAAGAAAAGGGGAATGGCTTACCCCATTGCCGATGAAGACTTGGGCACGCTGTGCGATAAGCATGTCAACGGCCTGAGAAACGAACTTCTGGTCCCAATCGAGAACGAGATCCCGACTACTCGATATCATGTTCCATTCTCCTGCCGCCAGCAGCGCTTCCTTGAGCTCTTGAACGAACACAGGTCGGCCATTAGTCATGATGTAGAGCTGGTTGATCCCAGTTCCAGCGGGGCTTGTCCGGATCTCCGCAACTTTCTCCACAATCTCGCCGACAGTCGGATAGCATCGCCTGCGGTAGTGTTCGAAGTGATCAATAGTAGTTTCCCCGCCTTGTTTGGGAAGGACTACGAATTGGTCAGGCATGTCTTGGAAGTTCGTGACGCCGACGAAGCCGTCGGAATTCTGAGCGAGACGTGGGCAGTGCTGCTCGTAATCCCCACGACGAACATGGATAGCGAGAAGGCCTGGTATCGGAGAGTATCGTTCTGCGTTGGACGTGAACGGGTGGTCGGCTATTGTGGGCATGGACAATGTCTTGGGGATGATAAGCCCGCTATTGTGATCGAAGGCACGTTCCACAAGCGAGGACCATCCGAAGTGGGTGATGATGGGGGAGGTCGAGAATGACGACCAGATGTCCTTCAGTGCCAGGCGTACCCCCCAGGTCCTATACAGATCGTGAGCGCATGGACTCAGTGCAACCTTGTCGGATAGACTTACTCATAGTGCACATAGATTGGACCGGACTTCCTGGACTCCTCAACGCACGGATCCTCGATTTCTCTGATTGTAGTCACCCACGCGTCCGTGACGAGCTCGGCCGAGAATTTGGAGACAAGATCGGCGTGAACTGCATTGCGTGCAAGCTTGAGCTTTTTGGGGCAAACTTGGTCAAAGTATACTCTGCTGACTGCGGGGGATGCGTGAACATTGTCTGGGAATGGCTCCCCAACGATCGGTCCTTCCCAGCGATGATCGGTTTGTGAATCATGGTCGCAGGATTGGAATAAGTACCTCGTATAAGTGCTGAATAAGGTATCTGCGAAGGAATCCAGTGCCCATTGTATTTGGAACATAACGACCCGTCATCGTTCCAAGTATAGTTGTCAAAGACAAAGCTTTGGGTGAATTGGAAGAGGTACGTTTGTGTGATTAGCGAGGGAGACGTACATTCTGCCAGCCCGATAAGCCAGGTAGGCATTCATCAGGTGCTCCTGTAGTGCATTTCCCCACCCAAGGCCTATGGTTACGGATGGATGAGAGGACATGGGGAAAACGTCAGCACGAGCACTGGTCACAAACTCCAGAAATGCACACCTCTCACATGCCCGGCGACAAAGAAAAATCTTTGTCCATCTCCGGGACGGGTTTTCGACCAGTCATGTTGCGGAAGATGTAGCTCAGCTTCATGGTACTCCGTGTACAGCGGAGGGGCAAGCTCGGTAGGAGGGATGGCGATGAGCCCTGGCCGGCCTAGCTGTCGCCATGCGTACGCCCCAGAAACGACCAAGGCGAAGACTACGATGCCAACAAGGAAGTTCCTCCTCGTCACAGTAGGTTTGGAGTCGAAGCCAGATAGAAGAAATTCCCTAGAGTATCTTGGAAGCATAATATGGTATGGGAATCGGGTTGAAAGCTGGGCGACGAGATACTACCTCAGCTTATAGTATGAATTACTGGCGTCTGTTGGCTGATGGCTCTCGCAGTTCGCTCCAGTCAACAGACGGCAGGAAGCTCGTAACAGACCCTGGTGATTCGGAAGCACCTTGCCTCGCACTGCCCATGAACAGACGGCTTCAGCCCGTAAGGCGCTGGCTATCTAGGCAGGTCTTCAGCATCGGGGTCAAGCCGCCCAATGAGGTGGCTAATAACACTTCGTGCCACCTCACAGCTGCTGTAGGAGAAATTCGGCATCTATATCAAGCCTTTGTTGACTGGGACGGGTGCAAAGCGAGTGGGCTTACCCTGCTGCGATCTTGTTGAAGCTGTCGGACTCCGAGTCTAACGGCTTCGCGCCACTGCGAGCGTTCCGCTGGAGACGCTCATTGTTCTGTTGGCTATTGCGTGATGTCCGTAAGACATGTGTTCGATGGATTTAAAGTAATTAGTGGGTTGCTCTGGGAACAGCTGTTCCGAGAGTCGCTGAACAACATTGTCTGCCAGGATACTCCTGCAATCCATACCGCCACCTGCGGGAACTCTCCCACGGTCGTCAACCCATACGACGGACGGTCAGTTGCTTTCTGGGCGGGAAACTAGCGTACAAAAATTCCCTTGGACACACCACAGCAACAGGATACTCCGGACTCCGGCAGACGAAGGGCAAAGGCATTGCTACCGGTAGCATCGCAGACAAAGGTTGAGGTCCGCGAGCGCCAGGAGGAGCTGCGCGCCCGACTAGTCGTCAGTACTTCAGTCTTGGAGAGGCCTTTAAGCGAGACAAGCTGTCCCGCTTGAGAGAGGATCGTTCGGCGTGCACATGAGTAAGTCGTGCCCAAGAAATTATATAGCAGGTGGAGCTGCTTCGGATCTACAAGAGCGGCTTCGGCGGAATGTTGCAAAACGGAAGGGTAGGTTGAGAACGTAGGCGATGAGGAGAGGATAGCTGAGGGAGAGCGAGCTAGTGCTTGCGCCGTCAAGATAAGGTGGACGAGCCCAAGTGCGTCAGGCGGTGAGGCGAGGTAGGATGCAGATAGCGACTAAGGTGTGAGGGAGTTAGGGGAGGAGAATACGGCGGTGGACAGCTTCGAGAGCTCTTCACGCGTTGAGCGCAGCTGTTCCGGGAGGCTCTCGTATTCGAGGGCCTGAACGTGCTGACGCGAGTTGCTCGCGCTCCCTGTTGCGCTCGGACGATATGTGGCCCTCCTTTTGCCTCGTGATGTCTCTCGTCCTCTCCCGTTCCCGACCATGGCTCCTCTCCTTCTCTTTCTGCTTCCCCCTCCGCCCGTCCCACTCACGATGTCGTTCTTGGTCTCGTTCGCGATCCCGATCTCGTTCCCTCTCCTTGTCGTGGTGCTTTCCAGATAACCGGCGTGACGGGTGCGAGCTAATGTGGTGACTTGACCATCTATATGAGGACCCGAAGGAGCCGTCCGCAAGGGTGGAAAATGCGTACCGGAGGAATCGACAAAGTCACAAAGGAATTCATGACGCTCTGACGGCGTGAAGGGAGTGAGTATCGGTGGCCTTTCTCGTGGGCGTGCGCTGGAACGGATGAAGGGTTCGGGCACATGCCTAGTAATTCACTCTGTTGTATGCCGTTAATCCTAACGTTTCCTTTCAATTAAACGTGGCATATATGTCCACCATATACCTATAAACATTCAGAGTTGTATGAGTCGTCGATATGGCGATGGAGGACCATCCTTTGCAACCCCAATCAACCCCGCCCGTGCCTTCTTGCAGATCAGCAGTGACTACCGATAACACCCAATGCCTCGCAAGACCATCAAAACTATCAAGGAGCAAGTTACTCACAATAACACGGTGTCTGGTGCCTCATGAGAAGGAGGTCCAGCATGCCCAAGAGACCTGCCACCCAAGCGCACCCCACGGTAGACGTCGTTGTTGCAGAGCAGACCGCCTTTTGACACAAAGCCCTCGGTAGCATATGTTCTTCAAAATTCCGACGGTTTTATGAAGAGCACACCATACTATTCAGCCAACAGCGATGTCTGAGTTCAGGAGGGAGCTGGAAGAGCGGGAATGTCCGGAGTTCAATGCCAACGAGCTGGCGCAATTCGAGTCCAGTACCGTGCCTGTTCGTCGCATTGGTGAGCCAGAGTATGCAAGAATTAGGTGTTTCAGTTGAGCAGTCAAAGAGAGGTTGCCATCTGAAGGTCCCATGGGGAGTTTGAGAGGGGTAAGCGGGTAAATGCGCGAGACGGGGCGCGGCGCTCAGACAACAAGCGCGCTGTGTACTTAGATGATTCTGCACCGTCCAGCAGCCACCCACGTCCTACAACATCCTCAGACCATCAATCAAGTCTGTCATGCGCAAGTTCAAGAGCAAGTGGCGCAAACATATCAAACTATCTTCTCAACCATCTACGGACGAAGCCAGAGGCGCGTCGATCAATGCGATATCTGCAGGTGTCGGTCGCACAGAGGTCGTTCCTCAGGCTTCGAGCAAGGTGAGTTTGACTTCGTAAATAACTTTACTGTCTGCCTGGAATTGACTGGACGTCTCATTCAAGGAAACGCAGAACGCAGCTCCCACCACAAGCCCCGCTGAGGATGTCGCCCAAATAAGGACAGCCGTCGACGACGGTCGCACAGCATTGGCCCCTCTTAGCTCACCCGATACAATCGTAGCCAAAGGGGCAACAGCCATCCAATCGACGACAGAATCTGTTGGAAGTGCGTACGAGCTGTGGAAGCCCGTGTTGGAGAAAGTGGACACGTTTGCATCGCTTGTTGAAAGCATTGGAGATGTGCGTCAATTCCTGTCCTTTATCGAGTCTCGGTCATGCTCAATATAATGTTCAGCTCCATCCCTACGCTAAGATAGCATCTACTGTCCTCCTTTCGGTGGTGATGGTACGCTGTCTCCGCTCATCATTCTGTTCCCGCTGCGGCTCTGACTCATACCCTTTAGCCTGTAATTGATCAGAACAAACGTGACGAGGCCATGGGCAATCTTCCCAAAGCGATGGACGACCTCTATGGACTCGTGAACAAGACCGGTCGCTTTACTGACTTGGACGAATATCGCAAAAGGCTGCTCAAGGATATGTCGAAGAAGACACAGGAGTGCGCTGAGTTCATCCAGGACGAGGCTCGTTTCACGAATTTCTGTGCGGATGTCCCTCGCTGAGTTCTTGTTATGATGCGTACTGAAGTTGCACTCCAGGGATCCGAACGGGAAGCAATGTCATATCGGGTTCACGCGTAGACGAGAAAGTACGCGAATTCACAGAGGCTTTCGTGGACCTTCGCAGGCGATTTACCGAAGGGGGGATGCTTGAAACTGAGATCCGCGTGGCGAATCTCGCAGACCTGAGTATGTCTTCATCACTTGCTATGACCCTCGTTCTCACCGACGGCTCAAGGCATAACCAACAACTTGCCCTATGTTCGCGGTGCAGGACTCGATTCAGGCAGAGCTTGTCTCGAGGGTACGCGCGTGAAGACGTTGGGTGTGCTCCGAGAGTGGGTCAACAATCCCAAGTCCGATGCCCCCCGAGTTCTCTTCCTTCTCGGCGGTGCCGGAACCGGGAAGTCTTCCGTCGCCCATTCCATTGGCGTATACTTGGGGACTCGTCGTCGCCTTGGCTCATTCTTTGGCTTCAACCGTGCCTTCCAAGCGGACCGTCCTCTGACCTCAGTATTCAGCACGATCGCGCACGATCTCGCGAACTGGAATTCTGACTTCCGATGTGCACTCGCCGCCGTCCTCCATGATGAGGGCCATCTCATAGGGTCAGTCGACATCGCTAAGCAGTGGGAGGGGCTTATTCTCAAGCCACTCAAGACCGTTACCTTAGTGCGGCCGGTACTTCTTGTCATCGACGCGTTCGATGAAAGTAGCTCCGCGGACGCGCCCGAGCGTCGTCTACTACTGAAGCATCTCACGGAGGGTTCTGGAAAACTTCCTCCCAACTTCCGCATCCTCATTACATCCCGTCCCGAGCACGATGTCATGCGCGTCGTGGGTCGCTCAAATGACGATCACCTGCGCTTGAGCCATATGATCCTTGACGACAACAAGGACGAGGCGATGCCCGACATCGAGTGCTACGTGCGCCACACACTTGCTCCAGACGATCCGGAATTCGAGGAACCCCTAGACAGTACGGACGTTCGAGAGCTGGCTGCCAAGGCGGAGGGTCTGTTCCAATGGGCGGCAACGGCTTGCCGGGCTATCCTTCAGAAGCCAGCCGGTCGCCCCTTGAAGCGACGGTTCGATTTGTTTATGATCGCAGTGTCGCAAGGTGGTGTTTCTTCCCTCGATGGCCTCTACCGAACAATTCTGGAGGACCTCTTCGCGTCGGACGACCAATATCTCATGGAACAGTTTCGTTCCGTGATGGCCCAGATGCTCTGCGCCTCCTCTCCGCTGTCGGTCGAATCCCTCGCGGAGATATGTCGTCTCGCGACCGGTGCACAGGAGGACGAGGTCAACGTCCTTGTGAAGGACATGGGCTCCCTTCTCTCGGGGATATATATCAAGAAATCCCCCATCCGTCCGCACCACACGTCGTTCCGCGACTTCTTGACCGACAAGGGTAGAAGTAAGGAATGGTTCGTCGACTTGGCGGCAGGGCATCCTGTCATGGCGCTTGGTTGCTTCCGCGTCATGAATAATCGACTGTCCTTCAACATCTGCCGTTTGAAGACGTCCCACACCCTCAACCGTGACATTGCTGATCTAGAAGCTCGCCTCTCCATCTCCGTCCCTCAAAGTCTGTCCTACGCGGCATGCAACTGGAAGGACCACCTCGCTACCACCCATCCACCTGACCTGCAACAAGAACTGAGCAGGTTCTTGCGAGACAAGCTTCTCTTCTGGTTCGAATTGCTCAGTCTCCTCAAGTCTATCAATCGCGCCGCCCCTTCCTTGGAAGCAGCACTCAAGGGCTATGACGTGAGTTTGGTCGTTGTACTTGACTCATCTGCATTGTGATCTGACTCGCGGCTATCATAGGACGCCGAAAGCGATTCATCGAAGGAGCTATTACTTGATGCGATCTCCTTCATCCGACGGTTTGCCAATGCCATAGCCCAGTCCGCTCCTCATGTCTACATGTCAGCTCTGCCTTTCTCTCCAGCTTTCTCTAGGGTCCGGACCAATTATCTTCCACGTTTCCCCTTTCTTCCTTTCGTCGATCGCGTTCGTAACGGTTGGCCACAGGATCAGGCAATCCTCTCGAGGCACACAGCCGCCATCCGTTCCGTGGCTTACTCCCCTGATGGTCGGCGCATTGTGTCAGGATCGGCGGACACGACACTGCGAGCATGGGATGCGGAGACAGGCGAAGCTATCTGTGAGCTGTCTTGTGGCTGCCAGGTTCTTGGGCTTGCTTTCTCGCCAGATGGCCGTCACGTCGCTGCAGCGCTCTCTGATTCCACGGTGAGGATATGGGACCCCATGACAGGGGAGGTTGTTGGTGAACCTCTACGGGGCCATCCGCGTTCAGTATGGTGTGTCGCGTACTCTCCAGATGGACTTCGCCTTGTGTCTGGCGATGATGACGGTCGTATTTGTGTTTGGTTGACGCAAACGCTCGGGATGGCTAATCAGTCTATCCATGACCATGCATCCTGCGTTCGCTGTGTCGCCTTCTCTCCGAATAGTCAATACATCGCGTCGGGATCCCATGATCACGTAGTGCGGGTCTGGGACACCATAGAAGGACAAGCTGTGGGGAAGCCCTTCGTAGGCCATACGGATCGGGTCACTTCTGTCCTATTCTCCGTGGACGGTCTTCGGATTGTGTCCGGGTCGCGGGACTCGACAATCCGGATCTGGGACTTTGAGACACAACAGATGTCAAGAACCATATCCCACGACCTTCTGGATCCTGTAGAGTGTCTCTCACTCTCTCGCAACGGCAGGCGTATTGCCTCTGGATCTGAGAATGGTCGCGTTCTCATATGGGATATGGAAACATACGGGGTTGTCAGGGGGCCATTTGTTGGGCACAGCGACGCCGTAGAGGCTGTTAGCTTTTCACCTGACGGTCACCACGTCGTGTCCGGCTCGCCCGATGGGACGATACGGATATGGTCCGTAGATGAGAGCATGAGCGTGGAAAGCCCTGGTGATGTCTCTTCTGAGTGGCCAGATTCTGCCCTCACGAGCTCCGTGACCTCACTCGCGTACTCACCTGACGGACGCCGGATTATATCGGGCTCTGAAGATGGCACCATCAACGTGTGGGATGCGGACGCTGGTAAATCCATCGGTGGGCATCTGAAGGGTCATTCCGACTTCATAACTCGCGTCAGGTTCTCTCCAGATGGCACTCGCTTTGTTTCCGCCTCATTGGATTCCACCCTTTGTGTATGGGACTCGACTACGCTCCGACCGCTCGGAGAGCTACATGGCAATACGGGCTGGATATGTGACGTTGATTACTCCCCAGACGGCCGCCGGATTGTCTCGTGTGACCGCATTATTCGCATATGGGATGCCGAGACATACGAGTGTCTCGTCAGGGCTTTGGTCGAGCATGAAGGTTATGTCAACTGCATCGCTTGGTCACCGGATTGCAAGCGCATCGCATCCGGCTCGGACGATGGGATAGTGCAGGTGTGGGATGCGGAGACGGGGCGCGCTGTTGGCGAGCCTTTCAGCGGCCACGAAGGCTGCGTCAACTCTGTTTCGTGGTCTAAGGACGGCCGGCATGTGATGTCATCTGGCAGGGATGGCACGATCAGATTCTGGAATTTGGAGAGATGGGCACCAGCAGGCGAGCCTTTACACGGCCACACAGGCCATGTTCACCATTCGACATATCCTCCGGACAAACAACGGATCGTGTCTTGGGGCGAGGACCGGACGATACGGATGTGGGACGCACAGACGGGGGAGTCTGTTGGGGAAGGCCTGTCCAATCCATTCGGAAGGATCGATTCCCTCGCGCTCTCTTCGGATGGTCGCCATATCGCATCAAGTTCAGAGATGTTCATCGTTGTTTGGGATGTGAATGCTTTCACAGGCAAGTAGCGTTTGTTCTCTTCTCGCTTTTAGGCTAAACGTAGAGATACCTCTCAAGGTCCCCCGGGAGTTCATCCCTCCTTAATCAACTTCAAGGCTACAGCAAGCTCATCTGAAGACCCGTCTGCCAGTGCGCTCTCAACTCCTCCGGGGTACAAGGAGTGGGACGGTTGGGTCATGGAAAAGAACGATAATCTTGTGATATGGGTGCCGGACGAGTATCGAGGACATGTGTTGTGGCGAGGGATGCTCTTCTTCGTTGGGCGTGAGGCACTCACCATCGACTTCGCAAATGCTAGCTACCAAATATAGGGGGCGAAATGTTGTTAGCCCCAAATCACCGCTTCAGTCTTGCTGGCCCAGCTACTCTTCATGACATGTATCCTTCCTCGTTGACTTTTCTTCCAAATCCCGGCCCCGTAGTAGTGCGTCGAACACCTAGCTGAGAACCTTGTAACGGTGTGACTGAATGTATGTACTTAGATGTGTCGGAGGACCCTTGATAATAGGACTACTTCACGTGATAAGCGTGGTATAAAGCGTCACGGCCTTCAGCGTACCTCCAGAGGACTGGCACACACCGCGGGATGCGCCACGCTATGCAGGTGAATAGATACCGCCCTTTTCGCGCCTATGAACTAAGCGCCGAAGTTAGAGATAAGGGATGTACTTACGCACAGGTATCTTAAGCTTCTCTACACGATCCTAAGAAGGATACACATACCGATGACCTTGCCCCGGGCCGTCCGAAACTTTCATCGAGATGGCAATCCCGGCAAGACTATATGGTCATTGCAGCCATGGAGATATCAATATCCGGAATAGGAACTTGAAGGAACTTTTACTTAGCGTCAGCCTCGTTGTTAGTCCCGGTAGTAAGCAGTCCCAACACCCATGAGCTGTGGCAAGCGAGCGAATACATCATCGCATTCCTGGAGTAGATACACTAGGATCTCCATATCGTCACGCCTGTGCTTGGACTCTCCAATGATGAGCCTACTGAGCAGCATCGGTGAAGCGAGTTGACGACCTCGCAGCGGTGAATATCTATGATAGACAGAGCGTAGACTTGCTCAACACGAAGGTAGACCTGCCGCTTCAATTCAGCTCTGAATCACCATAAAAGATAAGGCACCGTACCGTATGGACCCTCGTACCAGCCCAACTTCGTCTCGGTGTTCCATCGCTTCTTCTCTACATACGATAGCAGATGACGATATGGGATACTACGGACGCAATTCATCTCCGGCACATAGCGGTCGTATACTGATACAGAGGAGAAAGACAGACGAGCTAGGTGATCTGCGCACATCACGGCTTCGTCTTTCCAACCTTGCTCCACAGCCGCGAAGTAGAAGCGCAATGGGTTTGCTTCTGAGACTTTCTGCCAGAGGCCTCGCAGAATCTGCTCCGCCTTGGCCATCTCATATCTGTGCGCGGCAGAAAGGACGGCGAGGAACACGTCGGGTTTGAAGACTTGAGGATGGGCGACTGGATAGCAAAGACGGAGCAGGATGTCCAGGACAACACCGCACTCCTGAGCGCGATACACGGGGATCTCAATACCGTCAGATGTGTACTTGAGCTCTTCGAGGATGAGCCTACTGAGCAGTATTGGTGAAGCGAAGGCCAGGATATTGCGATGGACGTAGAAATCGAATTCGTCGTGAGAGCGGAAAATGAGATCTCCTGTTGCATGGGAGAATGGCTCGAACCCAGATAGGCCATCAACGGTCGCGCCCACAGGAATGGAACTGGCTGTGCTCGGTGGGAGACGGCAAAATGGCTCAATGCCATCGAATCTGACAATATAATAATAACTTGGCGTTGAGTTGACACTAGCACCCTTCCTCTTCTTCTTCCCCGGGCCTGCCCGTGGTTCAGAACAGGCCACACGAGAACGATAGAGCTGCAGGAGACGGAAGTAGGCTCCCGCGCTGATATCATCAAGCACGGGGTAGGTATCCTCGCTCCAGGTTTTCCCCATGATGACGGCAGCTTCAGCGGCAGACTTGGCCTCTTCTTCCAGGTGGAAGACACAAGCAACAGAGTATACACCAAGTGGGTCTACGTCGAGGCATTGCGGTGCCATTAGGGACACCTTCATCTGATCGATGACGGCAGGAGCATCGTACTTCACTCCGGCGGCGAGGACCCTACGGATGTGGTCCACCGACGTCAGCTTCGGGTTGATTACGGGATAGCAGATCCGCAAGAATGCATCCATAGTCTCGCTGTCCTCCGCTACCGGGATCGCCTCTCTTGCCTCGTTCAGAGGTTCAGGGATTGACAGCAAATCCTTGAACGTGCCGCTTCCAAGGGCGAGGATGGTCTTGTGGACGCGAAACTCCACGTTGTCACTGGTCCGAATCATGACATCGGCACTGTCCTCGTTGAATGGATGCGTGGCACGCTGCACTGCGGGTACGAGTGCGGGTGGCTGTTCAGACTCGCTCCTGAACAGGCTCATATCTAGTGATATAAGCGAATCAGAAAGCTCAATGTGACTTGGATATCGCTCACCGGTTGCCGACGCTGACGCTGGATATGGTAACCTTGAGAATGGGAGAGGGCTTGCTGAGGGGTGTCACAATCAGTCATCACCAAGCATTCGAGAAGATGGCATAGGCATACCGCGATGTACGACGGAGGTATCCTTAGTGAATGAAGATCGAGGTTGCGGCAGTTAGGGTAGGATCGATAGAAACACTGCAACCGCTTATCCTAGGATCGCATTGCAATCAGAGGGAAGTGAGCGCTGGACGGACCGTATACATACCGCGTTCCGAAGGTAATGGTCAACCACGTCGACGGGTCGTTTACCGGTTGCCGGTGTGGTTGGAGAAACGGCGGAAATGATCATGAGGACAAAAGGTAACTCGTGTGCACTGTGCATGTTCTTGCCCTCCAGGAAACCATACTGGAGACCGAGAGATTGCAGGTACGCGTTGTAGAGGGTGCCATTCAGTAGACTATATACACCAAAAGTACATCTATGAAACAAGCAAACCTAGAAGGATACACGTATACGCGGGAATGCACGACACGGACGGGGGGAATGAAGGCGGGATACGAACCACAGCGAAAAAAGGACGACGTCCAGGAACAGGAGAGGGAGACCAGTCATACCAACACTACTACTGCTGCATATTCAGCGCGTGGGGAGTACGATAACTAAGTACTGCGAGGGTCGTGAGTGTACGGGCCAGGAGACGAACACAGCAAACACCAGACGACGCTTCAACCCCCAAAACGACGAGAGACAGACCACGACGACCAAGACCAAGCCCCAACGCACAAGACACATGAGAAGGATGATGGAGGTGAGGAGAGGTGAGGGGGGTGCGAAAAATCACACCACCCCCGTCGGCCAGACGAACAGGCCAACGGGATGAAAAGTTTAAGAAGGAGATAAACCATGAGCGTACGATAGGAGAACGTGAAAAGGAGAAGGCGATGATGGACGAGTTGTGGGGTTGTGTAAGTCCAAAAACAAAAACAAGACTACATGACGCGATGCGACCGCGGAGATACACGTACAGATGTGTACATATGTAAGTCCTCTGGAGGGGTGGTTGCAACTGCATGATGCGAATCGGCGTACCGCCTCGAGAGACCTTCGAGACGGCGAGAAGCAAGAGAAAAGTCGATGCTGCGCGGTATGAACAAATGGCAGACCGCGCGACCCGCCGGGGAGCAGGCGGCGTGATTATGTGCGAGAACACGGGCATTTAGCATATAGATGACTGCCAAGGGAGAAACGGGAGGCGTGAGATGATGAGGCGATGAACAGCTTGCCATACGCATATTTGAATAATTGACGGTCGAGACGATGGATGAGGTGAGTCATGTGTTGGTGGTATGGATTGTGACCGGAACTGCGTCATGTGCGTCGATGGGCAGAGGGGGACAACGGCATTCATAGGCAAGGGGCCGGAGAAGCAGAGCAAGGCGGAAGAAGGGCTCAGGCAGACGCAGCATTCGAGCTCCATATTGAGCCCAAGAAGCCGCGTGCGGAGTGCACAATCTCGGCAGCGCGGTTGACAAGCGTCCCCGCCTGCTCCTGCATGCCATCGAACGAGACCCGCTGCGCACGAGGGAGATGTCTCGAGGACGAAGGGCTGACGGGAGATGTCGGTGAATCCAGCGCGGAGTCGACCGAATCACCAGTGGCGGCTGTGGACGCCGATGTCGCGTTCCCAGCCGACCTCGACGTGCGCGATGCAGACTCCTGAGATGCAGAGATGGGCGAAGAGACAGGCTGAGCCGTCTGCGCAGGAGGGACCGATATCCGGAACGCAGCGACAGGCGAGTTGGCAGGAGTGGGGTGTCTCGATCTCTGCTCCTCTTCCTCCTCCAGTTCAGGGATCGGCGAGGGGACGACCGGGGCCTTCGCAGCGGGGGCATAGACCGACAGCTTTGGGCGGTCCACAGGTTCTGACGGCGCCACCAGCTGCTGTTGCTGCTGCTGCTGCTGCTGAATATGCGCCGGCCCAACAGTCGACACGCTCGCCGTCTCCGTCGAAGAGCCCGACACGGACGACGGCGGCGACGGCGCCCGCTCCCTCCCCGCCTGCCGCTGCTCCCGCTCCAAAGCCGCCTCCGTCAGCACGGGCGAGTACGGCTGGTACCGCCCGCCCTCGGCGCTGCTCCCGCGCGACGGCGAGCCCACGACGCCCGGGGGGCTCAAGCTGTCGCCCAGCCGCCTCCCCGTGCGGTCGCGCCCCCTCTCCTCCTCGCCCCTCCGCCTGCTCTCCCGGACGTCCGCGTCGCGCTCCCGGTCGCCGCGGCACCGGCCCCCGACGTACGCGCCGCCGTTGACGATCCCGATCGTGCTCCCGGTGGGCGAGATGCTCCCGATCGGCGAGCTCGCGCCCCGGCTCCGGCTCCTGCTCCTGCTCCCCGACCGTTCCCGGTCCGAGAACGACGACGTGCGCGTGGAGGAGCGCCCGCGGGAGCTCGAGCCGGAACGCGAGTCGCTCGAGTGGTACGACGACGACCCGGTGGTGGTGCTCCCGCTCACGCTGGGCGAGTGCGGCATGCGGCCGCGCATGGGGACGACGTCGGAGGGCGAGAGCAGCGCGGGGTCCGCGCATATGCCGGAGCTGGGGGCGGACGACGGTACAACAGAGTTCGCGGTGGACGACGACGACGAGACGAGGTGGGCGTGTGAGGGGTTGGCGCGGGGTATGGGCACGGGCACGGGGGCTGTCGTGGGCACAGGGCCGTAAGACGACGACGCGCCTTCCTGGTGCTCGTGTATCCGGTACAGCACAGGCGACCGAGACGGGCTGCTCTCGCGCGAGCGCTCCTGCCTCTCCTCGACGGCCCCGTTCACCTCGTTCACGACCACGACGGGCATGTCCGCGTCCGGCGTCCGTGGGGAGTCGACCGGGCTCGGGCTGGGGCTTACGCGCCAGCCACTACTCCGCCCTGTGGGGACGCTCGCCGCACCGCCTTCTGCATAGCGCGTCACGGCGTCGTGCGCGTCGTCGTCTCGGATGTCGCGCTGCGGCCGTCTCCGCGGGTATTGCGCGCACCCGGAGCTGAAGTCCTCGCCGAGGTCGGGGCCCCCGAAGTAGTCGTACGCGTCCTCGACGAGAGAGTCGTGGAGGTGCATCGGGGAGTCGACTATCGTCTGCGCGGGGAAGAACGTGCCGGAGCCCGAGCGACGCATCAGCGTCGGCAGGGGCTGATGCTCTGGCGGCAGCGTCGCACTCTGCGCTTGTGGCGACGCGCCCGGGGCGGGCGAGCGCGGGAGGGGCGAGCGGGGGTATGTCGGGGCGGTGCCAACGCTGAAGTACGACTCGCGATGGTGGTACACATCGCCGCCGCTCCCGCTGTTCATGCTCGGAGTGCCGGGGAGGCTGTAGTGGTTGCCGGTCGGCACGTAGACGAGGTCGACGTCCTTCGGCGACTCGAGCGTCTTGCCTTCCTGGACCGTCCCGAGCTCGTTCCCGACCCCGGTGCTCTTCAGTAATGTCGGTGCGATGGGCGCGATGGTGACATGTTCCCTGTCCGTCGACTGTCGACGGACCATCGGGGGGCGCGGACGCGACGACATAGTGTTACCCGGGCTGAGTGGGGTGGCGAGCGAGGACTTCAGCGTCGACGACGCCGAGTTTGATCGCGAGCGTGAGGAGGCCGTCCGCATCTCGAGCACGTCATCGTCATCATCGTCCTCAGAGTCCGACCCCATCACGACGTTCTCGTGGAAGTAGTACGTCGACGGCTCGTCGTACTCTCCATCGTACGCCAACTCCGAGTCGTACCTGATGCACACGTTAGCCCATCGCGACACTCACATGTCGGGGCCACTCACCCATCATCGTACGCATCGAACAACCGTCCGCCAGCAGGGCCCGTTATGGAGCGCTTCAGCTTCGGCTTCTCGATCGCGATGCATTGCTCCACAAACGTATTGAAGCTGATGTGCTTCTTCTTCGCTGGCCCATCTATGCTCGACCGCCCGCTCAGGTCTTGATCGCTGCTCGTGGACCCTGACCCGTCGCTAACCGTCGCCACGCGTACGACCGGCGGTGTCGGTCCGGCTTGTGACGCAGATGGGGAGGCGGAGCCAGAGGCAGACGTAGACGTAGAGGCGGGTGGCGCAGATGCGGAGCCGTCCTCGGCGATGATGCGTGGTGGCGAGTTCTTGCGGAACGGACGACCGCGCAGGTTGATGTGGGTATCGCTCTTCGTGTGCACAAGTGGGGGACGCGTAGATGGCGCGCTCGACCCGCACTTGAGGTCTTGCACAGTGTCGTGCTCTTCCTCCTCGTCGCTGTCGGCGTGGTTGAAGAAGGGGCTGGCAGGGAGCGACAGCAATTGACTGATGCTGCGTCGCTTGAGGATCGGCTTCTTGGGTACGGGTACGGGAGCCGAGTACACGCTCGTCTGGAACGGACCGGGAAGGGCGTCGATGCTGGTTTTCCGGTGTCCGGCGTTGAGCTTCGAAGTCTTGTGTTGTGAATAGTCGGTCCAGTCGTGGCCGATGTGTAGGGGTCCATAAAGCCATGTTACGTCAGAGTCCTTCAGCCTGGAATAGACGTAAGCAAGGGGCACTCCGTCATTCAATCGCTCAACACAAGGAGGGGATCGCGTGTAAGAAGCGCGTTCATGAATGCCAGCGAACGACTAATGCTAGGGGTTGCGAACCAATCGGCCGCGCCCCGGACCGTCGAAGCCCAACATGGAGAAAATGCGAGCAGAGAGTGCCGCGCATCGAGAAGAGGGCAAAGCAGCCAGTCGCAAGAGATCCACGCCCTCGCCCCTAGGGCTTGCGCCACAGCCTGCGGCATTGGATACTGGTTGTGGTGGAGTGAAGGAGTAAACGCCGCCAAACTGCGACGCGAGCTGCGGCGAAAGGCAAAGGGAGCCCCGAAAACGCTGCCTGCCACAGTCGAACGGTCCGAGGGGTGTTATTGCGACACACTCTCCCCTCATGTTTGAGGAGCGCATACATGCGAGGGGAGCGAGCGATACGAGAAATAAAGGGATGGCGAGGTATAAAAGAACGTACCAGTTGAGCGTCTCGGGGCTTACAGTGGGAAGTTTGTTCCTCTGCTTCCACCAGGTGCGCCAGCTCGCATTCTCGAGGCGCATGCCATTCGCGATGGCGTTCTTCTGGCGGGTCATGGAGCGCCATGATCGCCAGACATCCTCCTCCTTCCAGTTGTGGGAGAGATAGTCGACCTGGCCCTCGGGTTGGGTGTCAAAGGAAGAGTCGTCTGGGACGGCGTTGTGGGTGACGGATACGAGCAGGACAGGCAGATAGCTTGTCAGAGTCGCGGGAACCGGCATACTCATGAGAGCAGTCGGGAGAGGTAGAGGGAGAAGTAGTGGCAGATGAGAGAGGCGTAGCAGAGGGGGCTAGTGATCTGACCGAATCGTTCCAGAAGGAAGCAGCTGGGTAGGTCCGAAGGTGAGTCGGCAGCGAGGGTCCGAGTGCAGCTAAAGAGGCAAGACGCCTGATGACCAGGGCCGGCTAGAGGGGCTACCGCAGTCTGTAGGGCACCGGGCCTAGAGACTGAGCCGAGTGTGCTGCTGCGCTGTATTGTGTGGGGTGTTCAGCAGGCCGCCATGGACGGCGGGGAGGATAAGATGAGGGGAGGGTGGAGAGGGGGATGGAGAAGCTGTTGGCGGTGATGGCTGCAGCTTTGCGAGGGACCCCCGCCATCTTCCGAGCCCGGCCACGTGCCCTGCGCCCGCCGGCTCTCCCTTTCCGCCCTCGCGCCAATTTTCCTTCATCGATCATTGTCCCGACACTGCGCAAGAACACGGCTGTAAGTATAAACGTTCTCCCTCCTCAAACACTCCCATCGCGCGACGACAATATCATAAGTAAATAACGCAAGTAATATAGTATGTATCAGAGACGCGGACCGGACGGACCTGGGTAGCTTCCGAGGTGCACCCATATGTATGCCCTGCGCGTCGCGCCTCTCGGGCTAGTCTGCCCCCGGTCCCCTCCATGCACACCAAATCTCCGCTCTTCCCTGCACCAGCACCGACCTCGAGCACGCCTTCTTCCCCGCCCAAACCCACCTGAGCCACTCGCGCCTCCCCGCCGCGACCCCGCTCCATGCCCCATACGTCTCTGCAGCTCCGAATCTCCCCACGCGCCTCTCACGCGGATCCTACAACGACGAATGGCCGTGCAACACCCCGCGGCGCGCCGCCCCCGCATTGCCTGTCGCCCCATGTCGCAACTCATGATACTCATCAATTGAGCGGTGTCCACGGACGCGGGGAATGGCTTCGCATGACCTGCATGACCGCACACGCGCGAACGTGGGTCGCCCAGCCCGTACAGCTCTCCGACCGCACCCCGTTTCGCATTCTCATGCCCGCGCCCGCCGCTGGCTGCGTGTGCTGTCATCTGACCGTCGCTCGCAGAGTCGCAGCTGCCCCCCAGGCCCGCGTTCTCCCAGCCATGCCAACCAGAGAACTGCCAGTGCCGTGCTCCGGGCGCGCGAGCGCTGTGCGGCATCCCATCGCATGATTCGTTCCTAGCCCTTCCTTCCGTGCCGCGATGCAGTCCGCTTCCCTTGTCTGTCGCGCTTGGGCCGTCCTCGAGCTTGGGTGCCTTCGAGCTAATCTCGTGCCCCGCAGTGTTCAGCTCGTGACCTTCCTTCCCCACACCAGCCCGCCCTGTCTATCCGCGACGCTCGGGGCTTCTCCGACAATTGATTTGGTGTGGTCCTCCGTTCCCTAAGGCGACAGGCGAACGCCACGGTCCCGCTTCGCTTCCAATCCACACGAAGACCCAGCCATCTGAAGCTCCGGCCTGCGCAGCACTGCAGACACACTGCCCTGTTGGTGCCGGGCGTTCCACTCCCTCCGAGACCCAAGTTCCGCGTGTCCCTTCCCCCTCGAATGCCTCAGGTAAGCCCACACAACATGCAACCCCTGTGGAAAATCGTCCGAGCGTGTTTCACACCGACTGCTATGCAGATCGCCCGCGTCCCTGATCACATGGATCTCACGCCTCCCTCATCGACGTCTCCCGCCGGAGGCGGATCTGGCGGATCTCTTGGTCTGCACACTATGCCATCCGGATCCCGCGGTGGAGCTCGCGCGTCCGTCCTCGATCACACACACACCCGTTCGCGTTCGTGGGCGCACTTCCCGCACCACGGACCGTCGGCCGTGGTACGTCTTCCTAGTAGACGAGACTCTCACAGGAGTTCCCGATCGTTCTGGCGTTGCATAGGGATCGGGCGGGTCGTCTCTGACCCCGATGTCTCATCGTGATAATTCACATGGAAGACATAGGTGCTCAGCGGTGACACGCTGTGTTATCTGTTCATGAGAGGTCCACTATACTACACAGCGAACCGTACGAGCGTACTTAGCAGGGGTACAGTGTCTGCAACCAGGCAGTCTCCGCCGTGGCTATGCAGACTCCTCGTCAACGATCGCTCGCCCGCTGCGCTGTAGCTATCGCAAGAGGTACGACCGTAGGGGTTCGCCGACCTCATTTCCATCTTTAATGCGACTTGCTATACTATGCGCCCTTGAACGGTGATACCGAAGGCAGTCGTCATGTCTTGCGCTCCGCTCGCGAGCGCCAGATATTACAATGGTCAGGCACATGGAATTCAGCCGAGCTACATGCATTTCATTGGCTGCCTGGCGTAATGGCAACGCGTCTGACTACGATTGAGTAATCAGGAGATTGCAGGTTCGACCCCTGCGGTGGTCATGATCGCTGAGTGAAGTGTTCATTTTTTTTGGTGCATTATCGTTGCGGAAATGACAACATAGGTACCGTGATACGGATATGTCCTCTGCCCCTATCGTCCTTTGTCGCGAGCATCTTGGTCGGATGTAGACACCACCACCCACCAGTTGGCTTCCCCAATGCATATTGCCGATGCCGTCGAGCTCGCTTCGGCCCCGGTCTATTCTGTTGACGGACTCGAGATTATACGGGTCACCGCATTGAGATTAGTCAATAATCATGCATAGTGTCTCCATGAGGAACATCTCAAACCTACGCTTGTTGCCCGAAAAGATAATCTGTTGGTACCGGTCCGCAGGCGCAACGTGCCTCACATTCATGTACCGCTCACTGAAGCCACAATTGCACAGACAGGTGTCTTGCTGGTCCAGCTCGTATACGGTCGTGCCAGAAGCAGGATGGGCGACCCTCCCTAAGCCCCGGGACAAGCCATCCGGGACTTGTCCCCAACAGCTGCAGTGGATAGCATTAGATCTTGAATTGGTGCGAACATGCGAGATGCGTAGGCTTTGACGGTGAACGCACAGGTCATCTAAGAGGTGCGCGTATGCGACATGCCTCAGGCTGCACCCTCGTGCTTAGACAGCGAGGGGATAGCTCACCAAACGTGTCCCGTAAGTCTAGGTGTCAATAGGAGTAGGGAACGACGCCAGGATGTTGCACGGTGTCACGGACCGCGCATGTGTCTGTCAAAGGTAAGTATGATGTACTCACCTGGCCGCTTGGACGGTGAAGACCTGCCCAGAAACGTCAATAAATACGAGCATAAATAAGGGAATAAATAGTGGTAGTGTACATATGATGGCTACTTAACGATAGCATAGACGGTAGATCATAAGAGCAGAGCATATAGGGATACCTAGCGGAGAATTGGGCTGATACATGGGAGACGTGCACGCTTCATTGAGTCGGGTCTCATTCCGACTCCGGCCAGGTAAGGACCACCTACGTAGCGCGCCCATTAGCGGTCACAGCTGTCCAGAACAGAGTGACCGGTGACTCACCTTGTCTACATGTGCCTCGATTGTCTCTGCCACGTACTTGGTGAAGTCATAGAAAAGAAGTATCTTCTCCGGATTCGAGCAGTAGCTGCACGCCCCGCGTCTACGGCCACCCCCGTCCTTTCTGCTCCGACAGGACGAAATTACACCCCGTAGTAATTCCGGTGCAGTCACTGATGTAGCAGTGGGCCACCGCTGCATAGCGATCGCAGCCATGTACGGGCCGTACCAGCACGGTGTCTTCCCGTCATCTGCCCATTCGCCTAATCCACATGCGCTCTCCAACTGCGTGCGCCACTTGCCCTCAGCCACGCACCGCGCAGCTTCACGGCATTCTTGTTGGTAGGTGAGGAGGCGATGGAGGTAGCTCGCCGGAACGCCCAAGTCGTCCAATGGTGCGTACGTAGATGTGGATGATTCATGTTCCATCCGGAGAGTCCGCTTTGCTGCAGAGGCAGCGAGGTCGCGCATCCCGCAACGGCACCCAATGGCGTAGAGCAATACCGGGTCAGTAGATGGGTCGTCCTTCTTGGACAGGAGGGCATTGCGTAAATATCGCACCGCTTTCTGCATCCTGTACTTCTCCGCAGCCATGAGCGCATGATATATGCCGACGATATCGGTGGAGGGCGGCTCGTCGACTGGGTGGTAGATCTTGAGGATAATAGAGATAACGGTGCTCGTCTCGGTAACAAGGAGACGGCGTGGGCGCGAGGACGAAGTACTGGACAGCTGAGATGCCAGCACGGGGGATGCGAGGTAGAAGAGAACGGCACAGGACTGGAAGAGTACACCGTCTGAGGTTTCGAGAGTCAACCCCGGATCGTCTCCATCCAACATGCATGAACGAGGTCTTGACGTCGACGGGGAGGAGTCCCTGGTTGGTAGGGTCATTGTGGAGCGTCGGCCGAGGGGTACTTCTGACCATCGGACACCTGATTTGGTTCGCGTCGTAGAGTACGGTCTAGGACCGAGGATGGATCGTTCTGACACACGTTCATCACTTGGACAGTACGAGAGGCGTTTGCGGTGCGGTTGGACAGGTCGTTCATCTGACTGGTCCTGGAAGGGAGGTTCGTACATTGTACGTCGACGACTTGTTGCATTATGGTCATCAAACGAGGTGGTTCTTGGAGCTGGCTTCACAGGTTCATCGGAAAAAGGGTGTGAGAATATGGGCGCATGTGCAACAATGGACTGTCTCACCTCTTCTGTTATGTGCTTGAGCTGCATGATGATGCTGTTGTCCTGCTTATGTGGAGTAGTTAGTCGTTGGATGTTGGAGGTTGAGAGTAAAGAGTACGCAATAGGAGCGTGAGTCAAACGACTAGCAGACTCTGACCTTGGCTGTGTGCTACCGCAGCCGCATCACACGTTTGAGCGTCTAAAAGGAGGCTGTGCGTGCTTGCAGAATTGCATCCATGTCGCTCGTTATCGAGGCCACTATATATATCATGCGGACGTACCAGGAGGTTGAAATCAAGTACATGACAATTGAGTAACGACCAATGCGTCGGAATATATTGCAGGGCAGTGGTTGACCGCAATACGCGCTTGTTACCAGTTACCGTCTAGTTTCGGCGCTCCTGGATTTCGAAGCCCGGGAGCCGTCGGAACGCCAATTAACCACTGGTACTACATGTGCCGATGGGCACTATGGCAGGATGAGGGGGGGAAACTGGGGGTTGTCATAAAGTCCAAGTATGAGGAAGCTCAAAAGGAGGGGAAATGTCGCGGCGAAGCAATCGTGTCAACGCTATTTGTCCGTATTTTGCGACACCGTCGACCAGCTGCCTGCACGCTGCCGCAGCGCTAACTACGAAGTTCAATATACCGTCACGGCCGAGCGAGACAAGCCTACTTTCCCAATGAAAATATATGCACGGATGCCAAGGGATGACATATATACATTCTTTACAAACTGAGAATCAGTGGGAAGCGATACTTTGCCCTTAAACGGTGTGCACCCTTCGAGGGTGGCCGACTAGAGTCCTTTCGCAACCGATTCAGAACCGGATTGGATCTGCCCAATCTCTGAACTGGTGATGGAGTGGATACCTTGCTAAGCGCGCTATCGCACAACGGTCGAAGGGATGTGCGAGGGACCCACCTTAGCTGATTCTGAACTGGGAGCGCTGACATATTGAACTACCCCACCGGTTTCAGATCGCCTGCGAAAGGACTCCACCGACTCCCCTAGTGGAAGTCAGCACTACCCAACTCCGGCGGAGGCGCGGGGAAACACGCGCGGATAAATTCAATGCACTTGAAGGGTTGAAGTTTCAGCGTGGCTAGATGGAGTCGGATAAGTCGACTCAGTACTATCTGTACATATACGATCCCTAGTGAACAACATGGACTATCCCGAGGTGAGCCTAGCGACTTCCCGGTCGCACCCATACTCTTTTCGGCTGCTGTATCTGCTTGTCGCATTCACTACAGATACGCATATCATTATATGTACGCATATCCCAACAATTACCCATCGTCATGTCACTGCATCTTGTTGCTCTCCTCAGGTACGCAGGGCAATTCCCGCCATTCCAGCATAGTCTATCTCTAGGGATCAGATCATTTCATGCCCTGAAGCGACGCTGTTGAATTTACCTTCGCCTCCGCCTCCTCCAAGCATCTCGCTAGACGGCGAACGAATTTCAGAATGCCTGCCATGTCCTTTGGTCTTCCGATGCACGAGCCACATCTGAAGCTAGTGGAATGGCTGTCGCTGGTCAAGGCCTTTGTCAAGAACTCAGCGTCCGTAACCAACTCCGACCTCGGCCAATCCATGGATCCCGCCTTTTTGAGGTACGGCTCAAGCCAGCATGGCGGTTCTGACTCTCGGTAGGGGGAGCATGTTGGAATCCTGGCGTCAAGATGGCGAGCTCGCGGAACGAGCGCCACAGGTCCCGCCCCCCGACGGATATCCGCGCCCTTATCTACCCCTATTCTACTGTGTATATAAGGTCTATTGTATGTACTACGTACGGCACGCGTTTGCACCGGCCAAACGCGAATCCCATTTGTGCCCGCTTGCCCTCGAACTTCTACACCTGTATATTATGCATATTTTTCCGAAGGTATTTGAGGTACAGAAGATGTGCAGTAGAATACCGGCCATTGAGCGTGACCTTGCGCCACAAGACAGTCATTCATTGTCAATCTCCGCTCGAGCGCCTGTGCGCGCGAATTTGCACACCCGGGTCGGAGTCTTGACCGGCAGTTCTCGGCATATGTGACTTTTCGTGACCACTCCGCGGAGAAATGTCCGAACACACCTAGTCTCGTGACCAGACGTTCGGAGCTCCAAGCGGGAACGAAAAATCGGAGGTTCCCGAGGACCTTAACGTCTGGTGGCTTCACCCCCGTGACTCCCCCATCGGTGACCGA